ATTTACTTCTTCTATTTATATATATATATAAATAAAATATCTTTATTTTATTTTTCTGAAGAAGTAAATAGGTCTCTTTCAATTTATCTTCAAAGAAAATTGCCATTAAATTTTATAAAAAATATAACAAATACAATATAAATATAGCTAAATAACTGCTATGGTAAAAATGTCAGCAAGCTGCTTCTGAAGATTCAAACTAAACTCAAATAAACAAAGTTAAATTTCACAGTTTATGCATGGCAATATGAAAATGTACAATAGTGTGTGCTTTTAAATTATAAATTACATTAAATGTACAATACATCATTAGACTACATCACCACTTCTAAAGTACAAAAATTGAAACAAGCAATTATTTTATGATGACATTGTCACAATGCCAGACTGCAATTTTTAATCATGTTTTAAAATTTATTTAATTTAAAATGCTCTCTCCCTCAAATTAGTGGTGTCTTGCCCCTGTATATCATACTTTTCCTGTTAGCAATAGTGTCATGCCAGTCATCCATTTAACTCCTTTTGAAGGGAAATTTTTGAATTGAAATAATGTGACTTTGGTTTGCATTAATGTTGATACATTGTTAATCAGGGTCTCCTGTCCCTAATCCTTCCATGTCTGGTCTTGGCTTTCATCTATCTAACTCCATTCTCAAGATTAAGGAAGGACATACAACAGTGTGATTTTATAGGTCTTCAATTTTTTCAAATTGCAGCCCAATAATAATAATAATTTCATGCATTAAAAATATTTTAATTTGTTATGTTATTTTTATTTATTTATGTGGAAAAAATAATTTGCAAAATAAATCTTTCTTCTTTTTCCAGTGCAAATATAATTTTGTTTTTTCAATAAAAGAGGAAGGATCATATTGAATATTTTATGTTGTTTGATATCTTCTAAATTTTTCTGTTTCAGATAATATCTCTTAGCACAGGTGCTCAATTTATTTATTCATTTATAAAATAATAATATATTGATAAACTGCATAAAAAATTTTAAGCTTCAAATATCAATAGTTTTTTAAAGTTCTTGTTACAAAAAATCATTTATTATTAATAATAAATTAATGTTTATTTCTTTTTTGAGTTTATTAATATAGATTTTAAATATTTAAATACATTTTCATGATTATTATTAATTCTCTTATTTTTTTTATTAAAATGTTTCTCTATATCTTTGTCTTTACATATTAATATATAAATAAATTTCAAAATTAGATACATATAATTTAAATTTTTCTCTTGTTCCCATAAGAAGAATTAATCTATACATAATTTTATACAAATGTTCAAAATATTTCAAGGTCTTTGTTAGAAACTAACTACAATCTGTAGATAAAAGTTCTATCAAAACAATAGCTTTTTCTGTTAATTTCAATTGAATTTATGGATATAAGTAATAGATATGTATTATATCAATCGTGCGGTTTTTTCTTTTAATTAAAGTGCGGTCCAGACAAAAAAAACGTCTGTTAACTTCTTCGGATCTAACCTATGATGTTTAATCAATTTTTTGAAGAAATAATTTTTTTAAAAAATTGACATTCAAAAGAATGAATTTATGGAGTTTTAGTTGTGCAAGTTATAAATATTGTATAGTAGGCATTTAGCATTTTCCTTTAGAATTTGAACATTTTTTTTTCTTATAATTTACAAAATGGTTGTTTAAATGTATCCCAAAAGATTATAGATATTAACATACTGGTTTGTGAAAAATAATGTTAATTTATTAAACTAGCTGACTAATCTTGTTTTTACTGCTCCTGATAATTAATTATCAAACATTTTCTTGGAAAGATCTATTTATAGAATAACTGTTAAACAAAAAAGATCAATTTTTGCTCAGTTAGAAATTGAAATATATATTTATATATATTTCAGTTCCTAGGATTCATTATTTTATAAATTTTAAAGAACAGCTTATTGGAAGAAATATATCATCATTCAGTTATCACTTACTATATTTATGAATTTAATAGCTGATTTGTGATTATTTTAATAATCTCTTATGTAATTTAATTTCCTAATTCAAATGAACAATTGAAATTAAAATTAAAATTTGATTTCCAAAGATATTGTATTATTCTGGGCAGTGATGAGTAATCTTTTCTGGATTTGGGCTGCAAGGGAAGTTCTTAGCTTCTGGCAAGCCATATGCAATTTTTTCTTATGAAGTTGCAGGCTTTGTGCCTGCCAAGTACTAACATACTCCATTAACTGCCACTTGTACTTTTTATTAATTTTATTAATTCAGTACACTAGGTACTAAATTAATAAAATGTTAATGATATGCAAACTAGTAATATTTAGTTTATTTGCATCTTTTCACTAGTCTAGATTAGTTTGGACATTCTTTGTGACAAATATAAACTTAATTATGATTGTACAATGGGACAAGATAAAAAATGGGAAAATACAATTACATTGCCAGAGCCTCCGGAATCATATACACCATGTATCGTATAAGTGTCACAAGTAACTTGCAGCGTAACTGTATAAAACATTAAGTTCCTATCACAACCAAGGGTGAAGAGTTAGTATACTACTTACTGGTTAAATTCTAGAAGTAAAGCAAATCATAATTAGTTAAGCTTTAACTAACTCTTGATTCTTAATTGTGAATATAGCCATTAGAGTAGTATACAAACCACAGTTTATGTTCACAAAAGTTGCAATTTAGACACTTTAGATTGTTTTAAATTATTATTCCTATTCCTTCACTTTGCACTAATACTATAAATCACAAACTGGAATAATTTGTAACAGTCATTGCTGAAATTTTTGGTATCAATCCTCATTCAAAATTTATACACAGAATATATCATTATTCTATCTCATCTTTTGTATCATGACATTTAGTTAAAACTTCAAAATTTATAGGATATTTTCAGAGCAAGAATGGAACAACGCACATTCCAAAAAAAAAAACAAAAAACAAATTCAAATTCATTTGTCAGTCAAATTACTAAACTTCTAAAGAAGTTTTGTCCTTTCTCTGTTAGGTGTAGATGGTTTCAGGATTATTTTCTTAATTTCAGATCTTTTTATCTTTTTCTTTTAAACTGAATAAGTAAGACTTAAAATCCTCCAATGATTTCTTTATTAATTAATTATTTTAATTTTAAGAGACTATATAGAAAACCAAAAATAATCTTGACTTGCAATAAGTGTTCCTAAATGAGATTTTGATTATTTTCAATAATGATAACGTTTTCGATGTGGGAACTTTCTTCAAAAACCAAATTTTCAAACAAACCATTAACTTATAATTTTCCCAGTTTAGTCACGATTTCCGAAGACCGCATCGGAATCATTTCGAGACGCACAATAAAGGTTTACTTGGCGATAGTGTAGCCGGTCCCTTCCCTCGCCACCCCATCACGGGCATGCAAAAACAGGCACTCTTAGTGTCCGCAGAGCAGAGAGTAAAAAAACTGGCCGGACCCATTATGGAAACGAAATCTTTAATGGTCTTTTCTTAGTGCCAACAAGGCAAAGAAATTTAACACTGAAAGTTATCAAGTAAACCTGATATCTTGTCAGTCATTGGACTTTAATTTAACACTAAAATAATAGGTTATACCTTATCTCTCTCACACAAAAACAATTAATTCGTTATTAAACTTAACTTTTACGCGTGATCGCTTGTCCCGTTCGATTGGATCTAGTAAACGATGCAGAAAAATCCGAAATTATGTAAATTAACACCATTACGATTCCGACATTCTGCACTTACATCCGTATAAATAGGCCTAAAACCTATATTATAACGTTACGACACTTGTTTACAGTTTCTACGATTCTAAAAGGCGTGCTTTTCTCCACGCGATTTAACAATTTACTTTTATAATTAAGAAATTTTCTTATTTAAGAACACTTTCTAAAAAGAATCTTAAACAACCATTTACCTGTCGGGTATTAATTCGAATTCGAAGTTAATTTAGCGTTCGTCGGCGATTAAACTTCTGTTTAACGTTTATCCGTTCGGTTGCCGTGGCAACCATATAAGGCGACCTCTACTTTTATAAATCTAAGATTTGTTTTTTTATATTTTTATTCAACGATTTTTAATTTTTGATTAAAATGTCGTTATTAATAGCCACGACGATTAAATAACCTCTGCTAAATTTTAATTACACTTTTTAAAAAATTTTGTGACGTGACGGAGTCCGTTTTATTCGTTATAATCCTACGTACTCGCCGCTATACACGTAGTCTGTTCAGATTTCTATCGTGTATAACGGAATCTAATAGTTTACTTTAAAAACGACGAATACATATTTAATCATCCAATTTAAATGACGTTAATAGAGCAATTTTCGGCAAAATTGCCGTTTGAGTTGTCAAATGCTTACGCTAATAATATAATCTATCTCACACCAAAATCTATAAAATTTAATTCCATAAATGTAAAAAAAAAAAAATTACGGATTTTTACGTTCATTGGTTCTCGTAGAACTCGATAAATTGCCTAAATATTTTTTGCATAATTATCCTTTTTCTTTTAAAAATTCCAGGCAAAATATTTACATTTTGTGACCTGTACTTCATACTTTAGAATCCGAATTATGAAAGTCTATAACTTTACTACTATAATTTTTTTTCTTTGCAAATCTCTAAATTAAAAAAAAAGAAAAGTTCATTAATAATCACTGGAAGTGGCATCAATGGTTTAAGGCCGGATCCCACGGGTGTAATACGTCTCTTTGTCCCGACCTTAAAAATTAAAGCGCTTATTGATTGGAGGGGGGAATCGCCCGTCTCTCTTCGAATTTCTAAATTTATAAGGCAAATTAAGCGGTTTTGTACAAATTTCTAAGCAATCGCCACCGTTAATCGTTCGCGTTACGAGACGACAGCGTAAATGAAAACAGGAAGATAAACGAGTCGCTAATTAGAAACCCAGCATTTATTAATTCACAACACATGGTATTTCTCTTTACAGGATTAACTGAAGACACACAGGAACTGAAACAATCATACCCAGAAGCTGGTCGAGTGATGAACACGTGTGATTCGTGCGCAACGACGGCACGTCTTCGATTAGCTTCGTCTCCAGGCTCCAAAGTCTCTATTTTATTTTTTTTTTAAATCACTCATTCCGTATTCTATTCGACAAGAAGATAGAGAAACTAGTACTAACTCTATTAGTGCTGACTTAACACTGTGCTTAAGTTATAATTATTTTTTTTTTTCATTTTTATCTGCAAAAAAGCTATACAACCATCCATCAAAGGATAAACTGACTATGCGTTGTCGACACTTTGGAACCGTGTCGAATCGAATTTTTAACAGCTATTTTTCACGTTCCAAAGGTGCCTCTCGTGAGAGCTACAAAAATATGACCTTTCCATTCCATAGTTAACAAACAAATGCTTGGTGACAGGAGTAAGGCTCTAACAGATCACTAGGACAAACAGGCAAGGTGAGCCGTACTTATCCGCCTCGAACGGAGACGGCGCTAACACTAGGGCCGCTAATACCAAAATTTTCCGCTAGGGTGAAGAAACTGTCTGGCACTTGTAGCTAAGACTTCAATTTTTTTCCATCGAGTAAGTTTTAAAAAAAATAAATTCAAATATTTCAGATGCATCTGAACAAGAACTTATACATGTATATATATTTATATTATATAAATATATAACGTAAACTTTTTTTAAAGAGTGGAATTTCTTACACTGAGTTTCGTACTTGTGTTTCCAGATAGAGTAGTGGGCCGTCCGTATATATTCCGACTATCGTTACATTTAAGAATTTGGGTCACCACCATAGTATTTATTGGCAGAATAAAGTTACAATGATTATTTTGTAACAAAGGCACGAGTTTGATCTATGTAAAATTTGGCTAACCGTTAATTTCCCCACAAAATTTATACTGGACATCTCTGATAGAATCACGAGCTAAACTAATACATCTAAGCTAGATCGGGCTCGTAAAGATAATCGTGGAAAACTATGAATTTTTTTTCTTCTTTTCGTAACATACAATAAAACGAAACAATGCTTTAGATACAATAAATTCTGCGACTACAAAAAGTTGCACTCTGCCCGTTACCCGCAAGTGCCTCTGTAGCTTCACTCCAGGTCACATGCATTTTTTTAAATCTTTTTTTTTTTACAGACCATTGATTTTTTTTGTACTCGAAGACAATATTACACTAAAACAAAATTATCATGCAATATTCCTACAACTTTGAGAAGAAATAAGATAACCCTGAGGTAGTAATTCACAATTTGTTACCTGCAGAAAGCCAGGAAAGTTGCACATAATGTTGGTTAGAAATCCTGATCACAGATGTCGAGTTGTTTACACATTGAAGGCATGCACCTGTATATTATAACTTTAAACCACGAAAGATTTGTTTACGTATCACATCTAATCACTCCCAGCGATGACGGTCTCTACTTGTTTTGGTGGCGACGAGCGCGGCGTCTTCGGACTCGGTGCCGGTCCGTTCGTCCGGACAAAGGAAAAATATCCCCACCGTCCGCCTTCGTCTTCCGAAAAAAGAATCTGCACTCTTACGAACGACGTGCCACGGTCGTAATCTCCGTGCGTTGATTCTGAGAAAACAGTAACGAGCTGCTTTCCTACACAAGATATATACAGATGTGGACAAGAAAATATGCTGCTCTTCCTGCTGATTGTAACCATGACTGTATGCATACATATATATACACAACACAAGTAAAATACACTGAAAATTACAGCAGGTAGATGCACATCACATTAAAGCTGTTTTTTAAGTTGGAATATACACATAAAGCTTCTGCATGTACAATTGTACAATTTGCACTCTTAAGGTACTAAAATGGCAGGCTACAATACCAGCACAATGCAAAGCTGCTAGTTTGGGAATTACCTCAAAAATATCTTTTCATTCTTTTCTCTTACATACAACAAAAACATACCGTGCAATGGTTTAAAACATATGTAAAACATTTTTAAACTTTTTAATAATATAATTTTCAACTAAAAGATTGCTTCGTTTTAAAACAACCGTCAATATCGTCTTCCATTTAAACAGTCAATACCAATAACAATATTTTAAATTCGAATGTTTTTATTTTTTGTAATTCCCAGCAAAAAGCAGCCTAGCCATATTCTTTCACTTATTTAGAATGCAGTGTTTTTGTTTTTAGATTTCGTGAAAATTTAATTCCGTCGATTTCGTCCCGGTTGCCACCCTTTTCGAGCAGTCTTTCGGGCAGACAATAGAGAACACCGACATGCAATAACGAATCTTTGTATTTAAGTTTGATGTTCAACAGAGGCACACGTTGCCAAATGTCAAGTCACGGAGAACATCCATTACAGATTAGAAATACATCACAAACAGCTGCACACTTTCGTCGTAAAATCTAAGTCCAGTTAATTTCAAGGAGGTTCCGACAGTAGCTGTTGGAGAAGACTTTTTTTCTGGTCGTTTGGCTTAGAATCCTCTACCTGAAATATAAAACGGGATTATTGGCACTTGTTGCAAAATAAAGCAGCGTGCGACGACGCCCGTGCCGGACAGACTCACCCGTGGACTGTTGGTCTGAACGTCCGAACCTCCCGCTATGCTTAGCAAAGGTTGAGAGTACAGTGCGGGTGACGATGGCTGACCTTCGTCTAAAAAAATTTGAAAAAACATTAAATTGTTTAAAACTAACAAAACTATCTCGTATATTGTTAATGAAACAAACATACTTGGCCCGAGTTCTAACGACAATCCTAGGGTTTCCAATTCTGCAGTAAGCGACTGACTACTTGGAGGTGTGGGAGCAAGGTGAAGCTGATGCTGCTGACCCTAAAAATTTCAAAATACATTTAAAGTTCATATATGATAATCTAGATTTACTTTTTAAATATACATTTAATAATCTTACAAGATTTCAGCTATTAATATTGATACATACAAATGCTAACCACACACATGCTAATTCTTTATGGTTTAATATTCTTTGATTTGTGTTAAAAATTCCAAAAACATCAATTCATAAGACTTCTGAATTGTTTCAAGTTCTTAAGCTAAATTTATTAGAAATTATTAAATGGGAAATTTTACAACTGTTTGTTATTTTATCTGTATTATTTACTTCCTACTATTTGTGAGGTAGAAAACTTTGCATTATTTAAACAGAATTTTAAAAATTTTGTTATGGGCCAACCATGCAATTCATTCAGATTAATTTAAACTGTTCCCTTAAACTATCTGCTATGTGTAATTATAATGTGTACAATGACATGAACATTCAGTATTTTTATGTAGAAACAAAAGTTACCTGTTGCTGTTGTTGTTGCTGCTGCTGCTGTTGTTGCTGCTGCTGTTGAGTTCTGGCACCAACCATAGCCCTCAATTCCTGTCTGACATATTCTGACGTCATTCCCCCGTTGCCTCCTCTGTTTCTAAAACCAAGTTTTGTAATCAGATTTTGGAATTTTGGCTTACAATTTTTATTCAGGTGGAAAAATGAAAATAATATATATATTTAAAGAACAGAGAGACTAACCTCTCCATAGCATTTGTGGTAAAGATCTGCTGATCGAAATTAAATGGTATGCTATCTGAAGGAATAGTATAACTTATCGTAGAAACGGTCGGCATTCCGCTGGACGAACTGTAATTGGGAGTCGGAGTGGCCGACAGAGACTGAGTATATCCTCCGGGAGAAGGTTGGGGTTGGGGAGACAGCAAAGGATCGCCGCCTACAAAACCTCCCTGAAGACTTCGTGGAGAATTGACACGACCTATCCATTATTAAATATAATATTTAACCAAGAGATAATATATGAATTTAAAATAAAACAATAATTACCAATTAAAAAATATTCTAAGACAATTAGTCAATATACTATAAATTAGAAAGGTGAGAAACTTAGTCTTTCATTTTAAATTCCTAATTTTCATATACAGTACATTCAATTAATTGTCTTAAATATCTATAAATTTAAAATTGGTCTTTATATAATTGCAAGTGAGTAAGTTGTAGATTTAGTACTTTTTTTAAATATCAACAATAATTTTAAATAATATTTTCATTTAATTCAACATTGATATTAATAATTTATATCTTTATAATGTATTCACAACACCTTTAAATAGGTGTTATGAATACATTAAAAGATGATTAAAAAATGAAACAAATTTATACCTGGAACAGACACGACCCTCTGTAATCGTTGCTGTAAAGGCTGCTGCTGAAATACATTCATGTTACTGCCGGGTGACTGGGGAGGATACGGTGAATCAGGTTGGTTAGTGTATGGTGAATTACGAGAAGAGGTTAAGGAACTTGGACTTGGCATGGAGCGCATTGTCATTTGTCTCTGCTGTGCAGGAAATCTCACTTGACCAGCAAATGCTGCTTGCTGAAATAAAAATTAATATATTAGATTTTTTTCCTTGATGTAAAATAATTCTTTCCAAACTTTATTCAGACCTGAGAAAGTTGAGCATTAAGCATTGGATTCTGTTGCTGGAGATTATTTGAATTTTGATTCTGAGTCGGACGCGAAGTCCACTGGGGAGGTCCCGTTCCTGGCTGTGGCGAAAGTTGTAAATGAGGTGAATGGGTCGGAGACGGAGAATGTCCTTGGTTGTAAGAAGGAATGGGGTGTGGAGAAAGTCTATGCTGTGGCTGCGGTTGCGGTTGCTGGTAACTACTAACTGGTGGCGTCGGACTCGGAAATGACTGCTGCGACAAGGGAGAATAAGGCGGGTGCTGCCCGACTCTCTGCCCGGGAGACAACTGCGACGGAGTCGGTGGCTGTTGAATCGGACTCGGCAACTGACCCATGATATTTGTATTATATCTCGGAGACAACTGCTGTTCGGGGACATTTGTTGGTCGCTGCTGTAACAAAATAGAACTTAGAACTGTGTGTAAAATTTCAAACTTGTCAACAATTTCAGATAAAGTATAACAACAAGTGTTTTCAAGAATAATAATTATTCTTGAAGACACGTGTTATTGTACACTTATTAAGCAGCAGAAACAGAAAATACACTTTCAATTCTGCTTTGGTTTTTATTTTTGAGGAAGAAAGACACACAAATTCAGAAACAATTTAAGAACTCTTTGACAGAAATATATACAATGATTATTTCTTAAAACTCATTTCACCAAACAATACATTATAGACATTGACAGATTTGTAAATTATCCCAAAGACATAATTGTAATTTTTGTAGTTCACAGAATGGAATATAATTATACAGTTGATAACACTGAATAAAGGAGAGAAATAAGCTAATGTTCAGTTAGAACATACAAAATTATTTTTCAAGTTTTAGTAATGAAAATTAAATCTTACATTAAAGAACTGTACTATATTTAAATAAGATCCAACTGTTAACTGTAATAATCAAACATGAAGAGATTGACAGAAAACATTTGTGTGAAAGAAAAAAGTGGGAATTGCTACACTTTCGTTTATATTTCTAATTTTTTACTGAAATGTATTTTTTAATTCTGTCTAAGCAAGCTACTTTTCACACAAGTGTATTTCCGATATAAAACTTTATGCTGCAAAAGCCTTAAGAATTTTCTAGAATTCTGAAAAACAGCCCTCACCTGTAGAGCAACGTTGGGGGCAACAGTGTTATTTAACAGTTCGTTCATGTTCTCTGCAAATGTAGGCGGACCGGTCGTGGAAAGGGCTTCGTTCAATGGTTGTTGTGTCTGCATTATTAACTGTTGTTGCTGCTGTTGAACTTGAAGTCGTTTTTGTTGTTGTTGTAAGTATATCTTCTGTCTCCGTTCCAACAGACTCCGCCTCATCTTTTTAAAAAGGAAAAACAAAAGATTATTTTATAAATTTATTTAAAAAAATTTTATATATGAAAAATATAAAAATAGAAATTTAACTTTTAGAATTTTTTTGTTTTGTTTCTGATAGTTATTTAATTAAATGTAGAATGGCAAAGCCAAATAATAAGTGCCAAAATATAAAAACAAGGAATTGTTTTTTGCATAACAAGCACAATGTCTTTTGTTTTTAATAAGCACAAGTTCCATCTGTTGATACTATGTCCAGAGGCTCTGTGTTTGCTAACTGATTTATGTACCTGACCAGAATTGCACCTATAATACAAAAAAAAACTTAAAAATGTTACAGGTGATTTTTAAATAAAAAGTGTCATGGCTGCAAGTAACCAAAGAAGATTCCAGTTGGATTTTCTACAAGAGTTTTGACAACTTAACAGGATGGGAGAAATGCCATGCATTGAAGAGGGAAATATAATAACTTTCCAAGACATCAAGTTGATAGAGCTGTTGTGCTTAGCAGGTGTACAACCACCAAGCGACAACAAGAAACATATCTGTGCTATATTGGAATTTATAGATGAAAGAGAACATACTTTTTCAATGCCATTTTAAGTAAATAATACTGTGGAATTAAATCTTTATACATTCTGCACTATATAAACTTAGATTATTTCCAACTTTATTTTGTTTGTATTTAGACAAAAATTTCCTCTTTGTACAGTAGCCTTACATCTTTCTGAAGAGCTTCATGCTTACAAAGATAAACACCTGCTTTATTTGTCCATGGACAGTTTTTTTTTCATTTCCCCCCAAAAAAAACCTTTTTGGCACTCAGATTATTTATTTATATTTATAGCCTGAAAAAGCTAAATTACATATTATACATTTAAAATATTAAATAACCTCACCAAAATAAGGTATTTATATAAAATTTAATACTTTTAAAATTTTGAAAACTAGGAAATTATTAAATTTATGAAGTTGTCTTAATTTTAAGATTAAACGAAATTCTCTAATTGTTTGTCATAATCTTTGAATTTTCTTTTTTTCACAATATTAAAATTACAGGTATACTTTGCCTTATGTCGGTAATTGATTCCAGGAGAGGCGACTTAAGTTGAAAAACAACGTAAGTCAAATTTACTTGTCACTAGGCTAAATCACAAATAACCTTTCCCAGTTCTGTATTTTATTTATAAATGCATTTTTAATAATATATGGTTAATAAGAATCTATTTTAAGCTTACAAACAAATAAATTTTAGTTTTTAATATAGTACATAAAAAAGTAATCTAAATTTACGAATTCATGTACGTACAGTACATACAAGACTTATAGATGTACATTGTGTACTCTTTATTTGTGAATGTGGTTTGCTCTAAGACATTATAAAATATGATAATTTTGTAAGGTTAAATAACAAATACAGTTATTAACATTATCTTGCGACAGTAGAAAATAAACTAATTTATATTAAATTTACCAATATCAAATGGCGCTGACAATGATGCCAAACGGTAGATATTGGAGCTACTGTGGAAAACACCAAAACTGAGCACTTAAAGACTGCTAAATAAGACAACACAATGTTTTCATGTTTCATTCTCTAGGTTTTGTGATGATTATATTAACATTTACTGTAAATGTAATATTTTAATATGATTTTATGTGCTTTAACACTTTTCTAGTGATATTACGACTTCAATATTTGTGGTGGATGGATGTAAAGTGAACAAAATGACTTAAACTTGATTTTTATTTTTCCATATATTTTTTGACAAACGACGTATAATCGAGAATGACGTAGCTCGAGGTATACCTGTATATACAAGAACTTTTATTCCAACAACTTACTTGAGGTACAGGTACGTTGGAAATTCCTGCAGGAAACTGCGTTCTTTGTACGGGCACATTGACAGTAACTTGTTGACTGTTGGGCACGACGGGTGCTAACATACGATGCCTCTGATTGGGCACCATGGTGCTACCATATGCCGGTGGCTGGGTAGCAGATTTATAATGACCGGTGGCGGGAAATGCATTGGGCGATAATGGCGAAGGCGACATTGCCAGTGGAGGTACGGGACCGGACGCCGTCGACCCCGAGGAGGAAAGCAGCGGTAGCGACTGACTGGCAGACACCGGAATCGTAGACTGGGAAACCGCATTATTTGGCAGTTCGTAACTCATCAGCTGTTGCTGAATTACACTGATGGCCATTTTTTCATTTAAATCTGGGGTTGTCGCCACCGTCGTGGTGGGAGTTGACGGACCTAACACTTCCAATAACTTTACTAGTGTTGAATCATCGGCCGTTGACGGTTCTATATTCATCTCTTCTTCTAGACTCCATACCTTTACAAAAAAATAAACAAAATAAGTAGAAGTATGATTGAAAAACTGTTTTGATTATAATTGTTTTTTTAATATTTAAAGCTACAAGTATTACATGATAGCCAAACTGCTGCAGAATATTTAAAAATGATAAAATATGATCAATGAAGAAATTCAGTTTGATGGTGTTAAATTTACAAAATTCAACAGTTTTAATAAACTCAGATATTAAAGAAAAACAGATCGAAAAAGGAACAACATAAATATGAAGCAAGCTTAACATAACCATCCCATTTCAGGTCCGTTGTACATGTTCCCTGTACAACAGACCAGAAGCAGGACAGTCAAGCTGTTTGAAAATGTTCGTCATTTTTAAATGTGATTAACTCTGATATTTTTTCACATATACAAAATTGCTTTGTCAGGAGAGGATTTTAAACAAATAACATACAAATATTTAGAATAGTTTCTTCAACCCAAAACAAGGTTATATTTGGGATATGTTATTGATAAAAAAATATAAGCCCAATAACAAGCCCATATTTTTGTCCACAATATTACTGGGTTAAACCATGACCTTAACTGCTATCTACAGAAATTTATTTAATAGTTAAAAAATTTAACTATTAAATAAATTATTTTTAGTTTGTGTATTTGTAGTTTTTATGAAAATATACTAATTGGTTGATGTATTAATTTTTACTTAACATTTTGTATTAAGAATGTGAAGTTGAAAACTCTTCTAAATATTTTGTATGTTCTAAAATTTTTTTTTTGACAAAGTGTTTAATTTTGTAAATTTATCATCAAACTTGGTTTCTTAACTGATTATCTTTACAATGGTGTATGCCAGAAATTCTCAATGGGCATTGTGGAACATTTTGGGGAGCCATGGGAACTATCAGAAGGGTCCAGTGAAGCTATAAGTGCTAATTTACAAAGTAGAATATAAAAATTTCTTTTCTTTCTGTACAAATTGTCACATTAGAGAAGTCCTACACAAAAATCCAATAACAACATAAACACAATTCAGGAAAGAAAATTTATATGAGGAAATAAAACAAAAATTCAAAGATTTACTCTGAATGGATCAACCATGCATTTCTAGTAAATGTGGTTATTATGGATCTACAAGTCAGTAAAATTCAGTATAATGTTATATATATCTGTTAAAAAAAAAGTAAAATGTCAAAATTTAAAATAATGGAATTATTATTTTATTATAGCATTTTTCACATACAATATCTGATTTTAAGAATAATTATTGACATTAAACAGGAAATACCTATACAGTCGACCCCCCTATAACACTGTTGATAATTCCGTTTTATATGAATTCCATGTTATATGAGTCACTTAGATTTTTACAAATACATAAGCCGTTCACAGCCTGGCACACGTATTTGTAAAATCTAAGTGACTCCGTACAACATGGAATTCATATAAAATGGAATAATCAACAGTGTTATGGGGGGGTCAACTGTATTCTACTTTTAGATTATTATTTTAAATCTAAATATATCACACTAACCTTATAATGCTTTGCAGTTATTTTGTAACATATTACAAACATTTTTGATGAAGGGTTCCAGAAAATAGTCTGCAGCAGGACAAGTATCCCTACTGTATTACTATACTGTATGAGCGGCATATGCAGTCCCTATATCGAGAAATTGAGACTTATACTAATTCAAAAATAGCCTACAGATGTAATCTGGATGTATTCGACATGCTAAGGAATGAGAAAGATTGGAAGGACATCGAAAGAGCGCTGGGAGTGTATAAAATTTCGCTCAAAGATAACAGATTGAATAGAGATCTTGTATGTATCAGATCTACAAAATCACTCAAACAACTACTCCATGAGCATAAAACCAATATTGAAAAGAAGAAAAATACTTCCATCTTAGCTATATATGCCAATGAAAATGGCATTACATCCAAATTACAACAATCAACCATGATCTGGCAAATTCACCATATACACCAAATTAGAAATTTGGAGGCATTACAGATTTCTAAAGCAAAATGCCAGGGCCTTTTAATCAATTTTAAAAACAAAAACAACTCTCGAGGGCATGGCAGGCTACACAATCTGGCATTATAACTGCTGACACAGGCACACATCATTAAGAATTTAAAAAGGAAATTTGAAAGAAAATAGAACGCATCAGAAACGGAATAGAATGGGAATCGCACCAGAAAAGGTCTTTGGGTGGAGTACCAGAGAAAAAGGTCTTAGGGTGCACTGAAAATGTTTGTGATACGTTACAAAATAACTGCAAAGCATTATAAGGTTAGTGTGATATATCCATCAACGCTTTGTTTATTTTAAATCTAATTTATAAAATTGCATTTGTAATATAAATATAAAACATATTAGTTGAACAAATTTATCATATAAATTGTTTACTTATTCTTTTATGAAATCATAGATTATGGAAATAAAGTAATGAATAAAAATCAGAACTAAAAGTTAGAATAAAGGAGCAGAAGTATGACATTAAAAAAGGGCACTGCAAAACAATTTTGTCTAGTATGGCACAGGTAGAGGACTCCACAGTAAAATGGAATGAAGCAAGTATCCTCAAAACTATGCGCTAACCATCATTAGCAATGAATGAATAAAAAATTGAAATTCATAAAAGCAAATTAATGGATAGCTACTTAAATGCCTGGAATGCAGATGGACTACATTCTACATTAAAATTCTGTATAAAAGAAAATTTAAAATATAACAGCTCCTAGTTTGTACCCACCCTTATATTTTTGGATGCATTTTGTTTATCTTATTCTTATTTATATTGTTATTTTATTCATCATATATATCTTTGTATTTTATTTATTTAATGGTTAATTTGACTAACATTGCATTTTAAATTTAATGAATGAATGTCCAAACTCTTTCATTTAAATGTTCATGCTTGAATTCAGTTATACCTGAGAATGACCTATTCTATTAAGTTGAAAACATTTGTGTTTTTTGTTTTATAAACATATCTCAGCAGCAGAAGGTGGTATTGATAATTCATTACGTATAAATCAAGTATCTTAGACAGCATAAAATTAATTAATTGCTATGTAAGATACAATGATATTGATAATTCATTAAGTGAAGTTTAGTTTTACAAGCAAGAGTGCTATGGCTCTAAACCCAACTAGAACTTACTGTAGGGTATGGAACACACAGATTTGGTCACACGACATGAAAAACCCAATCATATTAAGAAAAAATGACCCAACAACTAGAAAGATTAATAAACAATAGGATTACAAAAGAGTATAGCAACAATAATTGGCTTAATAATAATAGTTGGATCAACAAATGGTTTATTAGTGCACAACCAGTATCATCCTAAATTGAAAAGAAAAAAAAAAAAAAAAATCTATTAGTCAAACATTACTTCCTTTCACAAACAAAGCTCCAATAAACAGTTAGCAACTCTAGGGACTCATTCTTGCATTTCACTATTTACTCAGATGATGATGTAAGTTTGTTTTTGTTTTGTTCTGGTACATGGGTCTTAAGAGGTCAGAGTACCAAGTTATAGTGTAGTAAAAAATTAATCTAATTATCAGGTAATGCATCCTAGAAAGCTGTGTGTTTTATTCAAATTCTAATTATTAGCTACATTAAACATGCTTCAGGCTGTTACAATAAAAGAAATTAAGATTTAAGTTCTCATAATTCAAACCTAAATTTCAAAAATTTCTTACAAAGGAACCAAATACTTGCTTTATTTGAAACACCAATCATGTGAATATTTAGATTATTTGTAAACTTAAAATTAGTTTCCAATTTAATTATAAAATGACAAATAAGCTTACAGTTATCCTATGAAATTCAGTTGAAATTTCAGAGGATAATTGAATTGAATTTCAACTGAAAAAGAAAGAAAATAAACCTAAAATTATCAGCTGGAATCAAATGAAAACCAGACAATCATTAAAAAAAAAAAAAAAAGAATGACTAGTTTTTAGTTTCAAGCAGTGTAGTCTTCTTATAGCAGAATTCCTGAAGTTGGACACCTCTATAATTTCAACACTCTCCAACCTTGGACACCCTTTTGATGGATGCTAATTATTACCTATGTATATAAACTGGACACCTCCCTATCTTAGATCTTGGATACTTATACTATGTTAGAGCCTCCAAACTTCAACTTATCTAATTATTAATATAATAATGGTTTTTATTCTTTTATTGTTTATTTAATGACGATGATAATGATAATAGTTTAATAGTAATTATTATTCTTATTAATAATTAATTATATCATCACTATTAATAATAATTATTGCTTTACTTCAACTTATCCACAGGCACTGGAAGGCATTAACAACTTAAAGCCTTCTTTCCAAACTGAAGAAAGGATAATACATATCAATCTTGAAAGAAAGTTAAAATGTTTGACATGTAAATATTTTATCTTTTCTTATTTTGAAAGATAAAAAAATAAATGATGTATTTATATACTATGTATGTACAGTGCATATATATATATATATGTTTTCTTATTTTATAAGTTGGACACTTCCCTAGTTGTATAATTTGTTGGAACCTTCAGTGTCCAAATTAAGGAGGTTCCACTGTATAAATATCATGACAAGTGTAATAACTGATTCATATCAAACAGCTGTCTTTGCATGCAAAAAGACTGGTTTTATTCTAATAATTGACATGAAAATCAGAGGTTAGATAACAAGCATTATGAAGAAAATATTCATTTTTAACACTAATAACAGAACATTTCATCAGAAATGTATAATTATACGTAACAAATGATGATGATAGTTATCACTTTGTTATATTCATAATGATGGCCACTACTGAACAGCATACAGCTGTCATCATACTTGGAGAGAAAAATTGTTATAAAAAAAATTAACAGACAGATTCAAATGAAAGTTGGAGACAATGGTAATTTTTGATATCTAGAGGAAAAAATAGTTCTTACATCTTAAAATTATAAGGAGTTTCATCAAAATTACAAATCAGTAAAATTCAGTATAATATATATAAAATGTGCACATGCTAGATGACAGGCAAAAACCTTTTGTTTTGGTTTATTCATTCGTTTTAATGAGGTAAATATCTCAGTTATATATATTATAAAATTGTCTTCTTTCAAGATAAATAATTTCTTAAAGCAAAAGTTTAATCTGATTCTACATGTGCATCCACTCTTCGAATCCAAAAAATAGCAAAGTGAACATTTGTCATGTCACTTGTAAATGTTTTTTAAATTTATATTGCTTTCCACTGTAATAAAGAATAAATTGTACCCTAGCAACAAATTTTTGAACTAAATTTTTTCTTCACCACAATTCCATTGCTTCAAGGATACAGTAGAGCATCGTTTATCTGAATCAATTGGGGACTGGGGTTGTTCGGATAACTTATTTTTTGGATAACCAATTATGTATGAAAAAATATATTAACCTATCCTGTGTTGAAAATTTTCTCCGTTGCGTATCGCTTTGCGTTGAATTTTTGTTGATGTTAAGCCTAATGTAAACTTTTTAAAATAATAATCGTGGCTATTGTATTGTAAAAATTATTATTTTTTTTTACAAACAAAATAAATATATTGAAATATATAAAAACAAAAAAAAAATCATACTTTACAAGTTAATCTAGTATCAAAAACCTTCGATTCAGCACGACACACAGTCCTCAGAAAAACACCACACAAGTGCCAGTGCTGCCAGCTAAAACACACACATCAACAAAAAAGATATTGGAGTAGCCAAAGATTGCAGCGCCACAGAACTAGCGAAAATTTAAATTTGCTGACTGGAATTCTTTCGGATAAACGACACTCTACTGTATTCACACAAAATATGAAATCATTCTGATGAGTTGTTCTTATTTCAGACCATTGTGAAATCAGAACTTTAATTATAATCACCCTGTATATTAAATTTCTATTTATAAAGAAATTATTAATTTTTGGATTCTTCTGAAAATATTATATCAAAATAACAATGAATAATTTCCTTTACCTGATCTAAAATTTCAGATAACAATGGATCAGAATGATTGGATGCTGTCCCTACGGCTGTTCCTTCGGGAACTTCATTAAGTCTCATATTTGGAACATTTTGAGAAAACTGATTATAGTTTCCCGATGTTTGTTGTGGAAGGTTAACTGAAGACGAAGCAGTATTTGTTGTCGACGATGGAACCATATTCCGATGAAGCTGGTTTTCATCTGCCGAGAGAATCTTGCTTAGAAATCCAGGTGGCTGAGACGAGGAGAACGAAACTGGACCTGAAGTCATAGCTATCGGAGAAACTGATGTTGGCTGTGCCAATGTAATGAGAGCGCGAGAAGTGCCAGTCACCACTTCTTGCTGCAGAGTAGTTGCTACAAGACTACGATTTGTATTTGGTGCTTGTGTATAACAAAATTGTGCTCCAGTAGTATTAGGTGAAGTGCTATTGGCAGGATTTGGACCAGAAGTCGTGTAAGGAGTGTGAATCAGTTTCTTATCTAAATTTTTTGGCAAGCGATCCTGAGGCAGTTGAGAAACCATAGAATTGGCAATACTCGTCGGGACAGATGGTGCAGTCCGAGGAGTCTGAGCCAACATTGAGAGCAGCATTGGATTCCGAGCAGCCATGTTTCCCTGTAAAATAAAGCAAATTACTCATTAGTTAAAAAAATTATCTGTACTAATTCCTAAACATCATAAATAATTTAATACTTTATTTATACCAAATACAGTGTCTACATCAGCAATGACTAAAGTATTCGATTAGTGGGCCAAATTGTGCAAAAGTCATAAGTAGGACAGCCATAGATATTTTGAATATTCCATATATACAAGTAGTAATCCCATTTTTATCATTAAAGCAATGTTTCAAATATGTTTATAGGTGGAATTTGGCCCAGGGAGGCCGTAGTTTGGGCACCACTGATCTAAATGATAACTTCCAGTTATTCAGAATTTTCTAAAACATAATAAGCTTATTATAAAGTTTTATCCCCTCATTTGCAAATGAAAGTATTTCATGAAGCATACAACTGTTTGGAAAACTAGTTACATTATGAAGCAACATACATTAATTCTAATCTATATATATATATATATAAATGGACGTGTGTGTCCCTATATTTCACTTTTCAGCCAAAACTACACATTGCACATGAATGGTGTTTGTATGTGGTAGTAGCCCCCAAGTCTCCATTCGTGCACTATGGTGGTTGCAACTCGATAGCTATAAGGGTGAGGGAGATATGGGGGCTTAAAGTGGTTGACTTCAAAGATTTTCTATTCGATTTAAAAAATGTTTGAACCATTTTAAATTCGAATTGGTTCGATTATAGAACGATTGTAAACTTTNTTCAATAATCAACAAAGTTTTGATTCATGCAGATGTTAAACTATGTGAAAATTTAAGAATTTGGTGCAGTTAAAACCTTTTTTAAATAAAAATTTGTAGAACAAAATTGAATTCGCTAAGGATTTAATATAAGTTATATTTCTGAAATGCTTTTTTTCTTTTTTTTACAGATTTTTAATTAGGGTTAAAAATGATACCACCACTCTTAAATGAAGTCACTAGCATGGAACCAAACATCAAAAATTGAAATCGGGGCACTTGCTACTGATCAATGAGATGAAGCAAAGCGGGTCCTTGCAGCTAGTTTGAGATAAAAATCATTTTTGTCCAAAATAAGTATATTAAGTACAGTCAAACTTCCATATTATGAACTTCTATATAGCAAATTTGTCCATACAATGAATTTTATCATTGTACATTGTTCTTTCAGCCAAAAATACAAGGGGCAGTCAAAAAGTTCCCAGAATTTACCTACAGTTAGAAAATGCAATATAAGATAAGCTTACGCATTGCCGTGGCAGGAAACTCAGCATGTTTATTTGAAGTGTGATAATCCTTGTGCAAGTTTAACTTTGAACAGTCATTACTGTAGTGTCTTTGTTGGGTGTAACTGCTTATCATTCGGTGCAATGTGCCAGTTTGAGCAGCATGCAAACATCAAGTTTATGTGCAAATTGGGGAAAGTTTTGAAGAGGTTGTGTGATGCAGTATGGAGGAAGCGGCCCAATAAGTAGCATAGACAGTGGTTTCTTCATCACAAAAATGCACAGAGTCACACATTGCTTGTTGTGCAGCAATTTCTTGCCAACAAAAGCATTCCTGTCATCACCCAGTAACCTTACTCTCCAGATATTGCTCCCGGTGACTTTTGAACATTCCCTACTCTCAAAATGGGCTCAAAGGAACACATTTTGCAAGCAGGGAGGACATCATATCAAGTACAATGGTCCAACTCTGGAAGATTCCAATGGAAGCATTCGGCACCTGCTTTCAACAATAGCAGGATTGATGGTACAAGTGTGTCTGTGCGGGAGGGACCTACTATGAAGGTCTGAATTGCCATATTATGCGCCATGACAGTGCAGGATCACAATTCCTGGAACTTTTTGACTGGCCCTCATATATGTAAAATTGCTTTCTAAATAACAAAGTCAAATTTCTATATAACAAAACTTTTTTAATCTGTAAGGATCATCAGCCATTAAAAGTTGATTACTTTATCTGGGTTAAATTCGAAAATAAGTTCAATTTCAGGTATCAATCTGTAAACCCTTTGTAAAACCGAGCCCAGGTGTGAGAAATACTTGTCCTTAGCTTTTAAAACCATCTTGTAATCTGCCACCAAATCGCTACCAGTTGTAAAGAAGGGAGGGGAGAAATTAGGTCCAAATGCTGTTGTTGACAAATGATTTACAATTAAGCAATGTCAAGACCATTAAAAAGTGATAATTTTGACAACTGCTAGACTAATTTTTGAGGTTAGTGAGATTTTATTTTGTTTAATTAGTAGTCCAATTTAAATTTGAAGAACTGTTAATATAGTGTTTAAGCTTTACTAAAAAAATTAATGGTTTGTGGGAAGTTGATAAAGGCTCAAAAAAGAAACATTGTAGAAAAGTTTGGAATTCCTGCGAATAGTTTATCATAATAACAAAACACAAATCAATTTTAAAATTAGCCGCTGACATGAAACCTACAGGACCTGTATTTACTTTGAAGTAGATAAAGCAATTTTAATGCTCTTAAGCATGAAACATATTATGAAGAGAAAACATTTTTTAATTTTTCTCTACAATGAAAATGTAGTTAAACTAAGTTATAAGTACAGTATTTTAAGTACACATGTACACTTACTTAAAATTAAAACCGTTTATATTATGTTTATATTAATTTAAACTACATAAAATAACAAAAAAAATTACATTATAATATTTTATTTAGCAAAAAGTATAATTTCTGTATAACAAAATTTCCCTGTAGTGAATTTTTTCCAGGATTTATCTTCATTATATAGAAGTTTGAGTGTAATTATTTGATAAAAGGAAGAGAAAGAGTTTATGCTTCTCTTCACTCAGAAATAATTATAGTTAATACAGTATAATAAAATTTTGTTTTCTAAATTCAGAAACATTAGTAAAAAGTTTTAATTTAGGTTGTGTGTTCTGTGTTAATTTAGAATTTCCAAATAATGAGAATTATGGAAAATTTTAGAGGCTACTAACACAGGTTTCTGATCACTTTATATCATCTACATTAGCTTATGTATATAACAAATGGTTCAGATTATGTCTATGTTACTGCGGTAAATATACAGTACTTTGGGAATAATTTATATATATATATTGAAAACAAATCACTAATAAATAAAATTAAATAAACATACATTGTTAACTACATTAGCTCTTTTGGGTACAGAATCAACATTGCTATCCAAACCGTCTTCGGTGGATTTTCTTTTTGCTACGGTATTCATAACGTCAGCAAGTGCCGAAGACAGACCCGAAGTACTTGGATGTTGATTGTGTTCCATTCCAAGTTGTTTGAGAAACGAATCATTTGACTGTCTTCCATTACCAATGTTTGATTCAATACTATTCTCACTCTCATTCTAAATAAATAAATAAAAATACATTCATTTAATGAAATTAAAACAAACAAATTTATAAAAAAAATATAAATATACATAAATTTAAATAAAATTATTTTATATTACTATTATCAGTACATTTAATTGCTAAACATGCCAAACCATTTAAAAAATCTATCAGACCTAGCAGAAAATATGTTGTCCAAATATCTTTAACATAGGCATTTTACAAAAAGTAAATATTGTAAATATTGAAGTTGTTTTCAAATAATAATGGTAATTTTTTTTTGAATAAATGTTACATATTTCATCTAATTAATTTATACATTTTAATCAAATATTTCATACAAAAAGAGGAATTTAATTCCAGAAATAAGATAATTTCATTTAATAAATCCTGCAAATTAACTTTGGAAGTTAAAGTATTCATATAATAATATAAACAAAGTAAAAAAAAAGGAAAACAAATTTTAAAGAAAAATTCCCTAATAAAACCAAAATGAATAAAAAAAGTGACAAACAACTAAACTATGAGTAATGTCAGCAGTACATAATTTACTGTATAATTACCCAACCATTGCAAGAGTCATTTCAAAAGCTTTATCTAAAAATAAATATTTTCTATATGTTGTCAGAAATTAGATAAGTGAAATAATCAGTAAGGAAATATAAATACATTTCCTTCCTCTATAGCAGTCGTGTTGATTGGAAAGCTCAATGAGAAAATGTTATTAAGTTCCTTTACAAATTAACTAATCTTTATTTAATCTGTATTTAGAAAATTATATCTAATTTCATATTAAAACTACATATGTGTTTTTTACATTTTTTAAAATATGAATTATATCTTTTCTCCCAGAATGATGGTATTAACAATTTACCTAATAATTTATGGAAGTAATGAGATAAATAAAATTCTATTATTAAAAATATATACATTTGGAATAAATTACAAAATAAGTAATTTTTTAACAAATTTNGCAAATAAAAAGTTAAATAGTGGATGAAAGATAATATTAAATGAATATAATTAAAATTTAGTTTTGTCACAATTATATTATTATTATTATTATAAATATGAAATTTTTTTGTAGTTAAAAATTCTTACAATACAGTTAAATAGACAAATAGAAAAAATAGAAGAAATATTTTTAAAATTTGAAATAATAATAATAAAGTTTTCAGTAAAATGGATACTAGTATAGAATTTTTATTTACATAGCTTTCTTATTACAATATTTTCTTGCAGATGCCGAAAATAATTTACTTTATATTTCACAATTAAATATCTAAAGATAAATATAAAAATGAATATCATTTGCAATATGTATACAACTGAAAGAATATTGCTTCAACTATATATATATAAAATCCTATTTTTGGAGTGGACAACTTAAAAATGAATTTTGAGAATTAACATTTTAGAAGAACCTACTTTCTCATGATTAGTCTTTGATCTGCATTAATATTTGTACTTAAAAAGCCATAATAAAGCAGTATGAGTTACATTGGATGAAGAGACTATCTGTGATGTTTTCAGTCATTAATCAGCACCCTTATATATGATCCTTTAATTCAGCGATTCCCAACCTGGGGTATGTGATAGGTTGTTTAAGGGTACAGAAAAAAAGTTAATTATTATGTCAGAAAAATTAATATATTATGTATCACAAATTAATAGTATTAAAAATTATTAGGTAAAAAATGTTCATTGCAACAATCACAAACTTTATTATACATTTCAAAATGCAAAAATAGAAATAAAAACTTATGCTGCCGATTGTACTGTACAATGCAACAGATCAATAAATGTTGCACAGTCAGTCAATGCTAGTGGGGATACCATTATGTGTGATTAGTGATTACGCTACGGACTTTTGATGGTGGAGTGTGTTACTGTTATTATTATTATCTCTCAACAATATCCCCACGTGTTGTTTGAAAAATGTATTCTTTTGTTTATAAAAAGTATTTTTTATTGTTAGCAAGCAAAAGGACATAGCCAGTTTATCCAGATTTCCTCTACAAGTGGTAATTTTTTTCATTATTTATTCAGTATTTTTAATAATTTTTTATCGACAAGACTATGCTTATAAAGTCGTACTGCCTGCTGTGTTACCAGCTTAGAGGTATGAAGGAGTACAGCACATGTAAAAAGTTGCAATTTGGCACAAAGTATTAGGTGCCCAAATCATGTGCGCATAAAAAAACACTTGTAGGGGGACTCAGGGGACCGAGAACCGAGTCAAAATAAAATTCAAAATGGCGACACTCTACAAACAGGCAGTGCGAGATTTGCGCATGCGTTGCTCATTGGAAAGTTGTAAATTCCACATGGGTACGCTAATGAAAAAAGGTTGGGAACCGCTGTTTTAATTCAAAGAGTCCTTTCCTTCATTCAGTGCAGAGTCCAGCACTATCATTTTTGTTTCTTTTACTTACTTCTGAGCTTAGTACTCAGCACAAGAAAAATCTGCTTCAAGAGTAATATTTTCAGCATTTATAGAAGAGTTTTTGTTGAAAATCAACATGGTTGAGCACATATAAAATATGCATTTCACATATGAAGTCATATTTTTACTCTTGGCAAAAACATTAGAACAAGAATACAAACACAGTAGACCCCCTATAAAACGGGTTCATATAATTCGGATTCATATATAATGGCGAAAAAATTGTGACTGTATTCATATAAACACGCTAAAAGAAACGCGTATAATTTGGTAAAACGTCATCGCCAACTCGTGTTGCAACAGGATTGGTCGAATCTAGACCAATAGCAGATATTGCACAAACTGTTGAGTTTAAATGAGCAGTGGACTTACTAAAAACCATTTATTATTTAACATCCATAAAAATTATATTTATATTAATGATGTCTCCAAAGTTAAGCAAATTTTTCGCAGAAAAATAATTTATCAGGAAACACGCGTCCCCCGTTTGATTTTATGTGCCGCTCCACAACAAAAACAAACTTAAGCAATGGCATTGTCAAACGGTGCACACTCCATAAGTAATCCTACAATTTTTTGTTTATAGCATAGTTTATATGGATTATTCCCAAAAAATTATACGTATTTTGGAAATGTTGAGTCGAATTAGTCTAGAATCGATTAACTTTATGGAAGAAACCTTTCAAACAGCTGTAGTCTGTAAACTGCATATGTGCCGGGCTGTGATTGGCTCATGTATTTAAGGACTCGTAGAACATGAATTTCATAAAAAAAGCGGAACGTATCTACTGTGTTATAGGGGGATCGACTGTATTATATTTGATTAAAATATGTTTTTGAATTAAATAGTGAATAGTATAACCTATTTGTGAGCTTGTCATTAATTAGAAGCTCAAGGGGTTTTTCACTTTCTTTCTTTCTTCATTGTGAAAAATAAGAATGGGTTAGGACAGTGGTGAATTCAAAGGGCCCCGTGGCCCTCACTTGGACTGTACATACAGAAAATTTTAATTTATTTATTCAAACTTAAAAACATTTATGATGGAAAATATGGTTTATCAAACCATCTGCAATACAATTATCATGCACATGTTTAATAAAAAGTATTTATTAATTATTCAAATATTTTTAATTTTTGAGTAAGTCCCCACATCTGGATTTGCCACTGGGTGAAGAGAAGCATAATTAAGTGGAAAAGATTAGACTAGATGAGACTACTTGTATTTCCTTTAATGGTATATTTTTAATTTTTTTGTTTCTGAAACTACATAGATATTGCTGATTTGCGATTATTCCTATTACAAAACTTTAATGACTATTTTTTGAAACACTTGGTTTACCTGTAGAAAACATGCCCTCCTGTCTTTTCCTCCTGTGAAACAATCTGTATTTCATACTATCTAAAGAAATTAAAATACCATTAACAGCACTCACAAGGTGCCATTATGCACAGCATTATGTGCAAAATACTCTTTTGTCCCATATTACGAGCTCAGCATTAACCTAGTCACATTTCACCGAGCACTGAATGAAGAGAAGTTCCAAAGAGTCATCAATTAAGCTGAATTTTGAACTTTGTTGATGAAACTAGCTAAATGACAATTGTCTTTTTACAATTTTAGTAAATATTTTTACTTGATCAGAATATTGTGTGTATTATACTGATCTAAAACATAATTGAAAACTATAATGTAGCATTACATCACTTGTAACAATTTTTTAAATTATAACACATTTCATTTCTTGAATAACAACATTACTATGTCAAAAATTTTAATATTAAACATGGGGGAAAAATTCTTACTAATGCAAAAATCAACAGATTTTAGAACATTGTCAACTTAGCAATTTTTTAATGTACTTTCACACAAAATCTTTAATATAATAAAATTTTCTCTCTCTCAATTATATATTGTAATCTTAATGAAAATTTTATTACATTTTTCTTGCTCTAATTTTGTTTTAATGAGATAGAAAATTCATGCAATTTCAATGCAGGGTTTTCACTAACCTTTCCGGGAGACTCTGGCTTCAAAAGTTGTTGGATTAACAAATCTTGTGATGCACGATAACCTTTATCGTCGTCACTGTTCAGCAGCTAGTGGTAACAAGAGAATTACAGTACTTTGTAAATAAACAGTATTTATGTACAGTGGATTATGATAGCAAATAAAAAGTTAAATAGTGGATGAAAGATAATATTAAATGAATATAATTAAAATTTAGTTTTGTCACAATTATATTATTATTATTATTATAAATATTACATAAAAAATATTTTAAAGTTTGATATTTAAACACCCAAATAACATCAACTAATCTTGAAGAGTGACAAAGATGAGTTTCTAAATTAAATTATAAATTAATGTTGTAATCACATTAATATTCAACTAGACAAATTTATAAATACTTCAGATATTCAACATTAAAATACAATATATAGCCCTTTTGAACAGAATATATATATAATGTTTATTCCTTTCAATAATCAACAAAGTTTTGATTCATGCAGATGTTAAACTATGTGAAAATTTAAGAATTTGGTGCAGTTAAAACCTTTTTTAAATAAAAATTTGTAGAACAAAATTGAATTCGCTAAGGATTTAATATAAGTTATATTTCTGAAATGCTTTTTTTCTTTTTTTTACAGATTTTTAATTAGGGTTAAAAATGATACCACCACTCTTAAATGAAGTCACTAGCATGGAACCAAACATCAAAAATTGAAATCGGGGCACTTGCTACTGATCAATGAGATGAACCTGGCAGATGATGCTGTGCTCAAGCAGATAAACAGTGTGCTTGAGGACCGGCACACCCTCTACGTCACTGAGACTGCAAGGGAGATCTGTGCCCCTGATGTTCTCAAATTGAGAAGACCAAAATAAATAATATCAATGTTAAAATAAACTCACCTCTCACATCACATAATTCTGACCAAGTGAGTGTGAATGCTGAATAAAAATTCATATCAACATGACAAAAGTCAGTTTGCAATATTTACTAATTTTACTTATGATCTAGCACAGGCATTAAGAAAAAAGTTACGTTTATGGTATCTTGTGACTGAAATATCAATTCTAAGGTTTAGCAGAAATAAAAAAAATATTTATTCTAATTATAGTATTTGCCAGACAAAAATATAAACTGATTATTTTTTTTTTACACAACTTAAATTTACAGCATATAAATTTATTTAAAAATCATTTCAAATAATGTTTCACTAGGCATGAAATAACTTTCAAGTTTAGAATATAAATTAAGAAACTAAACCAATATCTTCTAAAAAAAATCCTGCTCAAATCCAAGACGTTAATTTTTTTGGAGTCTTCTTCTGGTTCCGTATTCATTCCTGAATGTAGGATTAGTATTATTATAACAATCTCAATTGTGCTTCACATGCAAGTTATTCTGCTTTCTTATTTTTCCATTCACATATATTACTTAACCAACTTTTCCTTCTCCTTCCTGGGCTTTTCTTTCCACAGATTTTTCCCTCTAAAATATTTCTCAAAATTTCATATTTACTTCCTCGGATGATGTGGCCAAAATACCCCGTCTTTCTTCTTTTAACTGTATTTAAAACTTCTTTTTCTTTCCCCATTCTTTCCAAAACTTCCTCATTTGTTATTCTATCTGTCCAAGATATTTTTAAAATTCTTCTATATAACCACATTTCGAATGCTTCAAGTTTGTTTAACGTATTTTTATCTAAGGTCCACGTTTCTACTCCATAAAACAAAACTGACATCACATAGCACCTTAACATTCTAATTTTAAGATGTAAATTAAAAACATTGCATTTGAAAAATTTCTGCATTCTGATAAAAGTACCCCTCGCATTTTCTATTCTAGATTTAATTTCTTTAATGCATCTGCCATCTTCCTGTATGATAGTCCCCAAATACTTAATTGATGAAACTGTATCAATTGTCCTGTTTTGTATCTGCAACGTTACATTATCTATATTTTTCTTGCATGAAATAAGTAGTTTTGTTTTCTTATAATTCATCTGAAGTCCGTAGAATTTACTTATTGAATTAATCTTTTCTATTAATATTGTCAAATCATTTGTATTTTCTGCTAAAACCACTGTATTGTCAGCATAACATATATTATTTACATTCATCCCATTTATTACAATCCCAATGTGTTTCATATCTTCTAAAGCTTCTTTAAAAATTTCATCTGAATAAATATTAAAAAGTAAAAGTGATAAAATACATCCTTGCCTTACTCATTTTTTTATTTCTATTTCTTCAGATAACTCAGAATCAATTAAAATGTTGGCTTTCTGTTCCCAGTAAAGATTTATTACAATTTGCAATTCATTTCTATCAATTCCTTTCTTCCTAAGTATATCTATTAATTTATCATGCAGAATTCTATCAAATGCTTTTTCATAGTCTATAAAACAGGTATATATATCCTTGTTAACAACAATCCTAAACTCAACTGACATGTAGCATGCGATGAGCTTAAAACTGGCAACTTGCCCATAGAGTTTATATGGAGGAATTTTACCTTGAATATCAGCTCATAGATTGAATTTCAAAATTCTGGCTTCATCACAATGGCGGCCTTGTCTAGTTATACATATTTGCAAAAAATCATATTTAATGTTCATATGGTTGCTTTGAACTTCAATCACAGATAAAACACTTTCTGACTTATGAAGAGATATAGTTACATTAAAAGTTATGTGAATATAGCCTCGACACAAGTTTCTCTCTCCTTATTAAATCAAAATCTTGTCCCTCTTCACTAAAAGGAAGCACTTTATGATTTCTATTTGGCATATCCAAATTGCCAGCATCACTATTACCATATTGTATTTTGGGCCATTATTAAGTAAAGATTACTTGAACATAAGCACTGTGATACCATGACAGTTGACCTGACAACCACGACAACTACTAAATACCTAATGGGTGGGTAGAATATACAATATAGATATGCCAGACAAAGAAATGATTTATTTCCCAGGCATGACGATGCAAGATTTCATCATGTTATTCTAAATAAAAAGCAATTTAAAACTTATCAATTGCTTATTTTTGGAATTTTCATTTTAATATTTTTGGATTACAACTGACCATAAGTAACTGAAACCATAAAAAGTAAAACCACAAATAAGGGGTTTACAGTATTTAAATATTAAAATATTTAAATACTGTACCATTAACATAACATAACATAATATAATATAATATAATACGACCATTAACAGTACAAAATATTTAAACAACAATATTTCACATACTTTTTGTAACATACATAATATAGAAATCATCTGTAATATCCATTCAGTGTAACTATATATTTTATTTCCACATATTACAAATGTTTTCTCAAAGACAAAAGATAACCATTTAAAGACATAACAGTTTTGGAAATTCATTTTAATAAATTAAGCTTTATGAGTAATTCAGAATACCTGACATTGTTCATTGTAGATTAAAGAAAATGCCTGTAGCATAAAACACTTTTGTTTTCTACTGGTTTCTTGGTGTTTTTGTGTTATTTGTTGCATATACCAGTGTTCCGCAACCTTTTTCTACTTGCGGCACACCCATGACTTAACACAGCACACTAAAATGTTATTCCCCTCAAAAACATATGATATGATACTATTAATAGAATTACATAATGCCACTAACCTATTATTATTATTGTTATTATACAGACATCAACACCTGTGAGCAAATTTTTTTACATATAATTTCTTAGAATACATAAAATGCGTGGCTTGTAATAAAGAATAAACAAACATCATCTTATTTCATCAGTGCTGCGACAGAGAATGAAATACAAGCATAAGAAACACAACAACTGTGATAAAAATATATAAATAAAATTTGAAATTAACAGAATATGTAAAAGTTCATGTCACATCTTTCACCATGTGACGGCACACTGGTTGCGGAACACTGGCATATACAACCAATTTGAGTTATGGTTAATACTTTAAGCTGTAAGTTACTTCAAAAAAACTTTTTTCTGAACAGAAATGATAGTAAAATACCAATTCTTTTATCCAATATTCTGAAATGATCTAGTCTTAAAATTGATTATCTGTTGCCATCAAGATCAGTTTTTCCTTACTATTATAATGAGGTCTGATATATAAATAAAGATATTAGCAGTTATACCAGTAACTGGACACAATTTTGGCAGAATGAAAAACAACAATATCAATAAAATTATTCCTGTACTGTCAACTAACAGAAATGACAATCAGTAATCATTTCTGACAATTAAAATTTAATATGTATTAACCTAACTTATCTTTACAGATTCACTAGCTAATACAAAATGTTTTTCATGATTAACAGTTTCTCACAGAAAAGAAAGAAAAAGTACTTTATCAGAAATATTTGAAATGTCAATAGTAAAGCATAAGATGCTCTACAAGATGTCAAAATTTAACAGTTTCAACATTTCAAAAAACATCAAATAGTTAATTTTAAGCACCATCTACCTACTTTTAAATATTCTTATTATTATTTATTTGCTTTGCATCATTTAAATTACCATTCTAGTGTTTTATCGTCCATTTTTTAAAGTTAATTTTTATTATGATTTATAAAAGTTAATATACATTATTACAATGCCTAGAAATATTTAGCTACAGCAATTAACAATGACATTACAAATACAATACTCTAATAAGAATAGCTAAGGTTACTTTGGTAATGCAATTTACTAATTACCATTTTTAAATCTTATTGAATTTCTTTTAAATTTTAGGCCATTTCTTCCTCCCAAATCATTTCACTTGCATAACATGCAAGCATACAATCTGTTTACATCCATCCTTCTAATAGTTGTGAAAGATACCATATTTTAAGTTAAAATATGTTAAATATTTTATTCTGCTTATTATGTTAGGTTCATTTATGTTATGCAAACATTAATCAAAATTGCATGCATTCTATCAAACACACAAAACTTCATACTTAAGTTTTTTGGAGCTTCATCCATTCTCAAGTCTTCTAATCGAAAAATAATAAACCTTAAAGACAGATTACATAAAAATGCTTGGTTTTGAAATAAAGTTTAATTCATCACAAGCATTTAAGTGTGCTCGTAAGTACTTAACTTAATATTTTCTCATTTCCATACTTTTCAAAATTAAAGTTTGATCTCAAGTAACCGGAAGAGTTTGAATAGAGGTTATCAACATTTTGGCAAAAAGGATTACCCTTTACGATGCAGCTATTCAAGAAGTAGGACACACAAACCAAAACACACTTAAAATAAAGCAATATTTATACAAAGTGACTAGAATGTTTCTTTTCTCAATTTTTAAATGAAAACAGGAAAAAATGAGAAAATTGAAATTATTTAATATATATTTTAAGTAAGTTCATATATTTAAAAACGTAAGATTAAAAAACAAATTACAGAAAGTTTGAAAGTATTTTTTAAATGATTGAAAATGGATCACTTTTCATTGTCTCACAATCCAGAAAAAATGAAATTATTCCCAATGAATAAATGAAACAATTTGTATTTGAAATTTGGAACAAGCAAATTTAATTTTAATTACTGTAAAACTTAAATTAATATTTAATAAACTATTGAAATTTTTCTTTGCTATTATATTCATTGACTATATAAGCTAAGTTACAGTAAATTCCTACCCATGTTAAGCAAACATATATACTGTAAAAGTATAAATTTGAAATATGACATGGAATTGATTTTTTTTAGTATGTAATAAAAAAAGCCTTTAAATACATACAAGAACTAACTTAACAACTAAATCCAAAATTTTAAGCAGTGCCTCTATGTTAAGTAATTCTAATCATTAATATAAATTATTTTTTTGTTTTCAAGTAATTAAATTGCATTCTAATAATTTTCTATTATTATTTGTAAAATTTTTTAAACTAATAAAATCAAGATTTTTTTTAATTAAACTGCAAAAGCCATAAAAAAATGAACTATTTTTTGATTTTTCAGGTTATTTTTTAAAATAACTGATTGAATTGAAACTTAAGCTTAGACAAAATTATCTCAAAAATTGAATACAAAATCAGAATGCCATATTAAGAAGAATAAAAAGAAAACATTACTTTTCTAAATAGTAAAAGTTAATTCTCATAAAAAATAAGTTCATTTTTATTTGAGTTTTGCACTGTTTCTGTAAGGCAATCAATTAAACTAAACTAAAAACTGCTTGAAAACAAAATCTTGAATTATATTTCCTATTTTGTAGATAAAATTTGTTTGAAATATCTTAAATGTCTTATGTTACATAGTACTCAGCTGTTGCATACACAAGGCAATTACACAAGTCATTTTCTCATTAAGATTCATTGATACTATTTCTTGAACTTGATTGCAAAAATCCAAAATATGAATTTCTTTTTGAAACACTTTATACTAATCTACCGATATTTACCAATTTCTTAAAATTGAGGGCTTAGTGAAAAAACATTAGAAAGTTTATAAGAAAAAAATGACCATTTATATTTCAATTTACCAGTGCTTTAATATGCAACATTTTATTAATGTGGGCATATGATTTGTGGCCATGTAACTGTCTCATGAAAGTTTCTTGATGATGCACAAATCCCCAAATTTGTTAGTAACTCATTTTTTATAGTATGCAGGATATGCTGTTTCTCCACTACTCTCTTTGAATACATATAATTAGATTAGTAATCAAAGATAAAACTTTGAATAATATAGTAAAAAAAGAATTTCAATTATGCTTCAATTAGAAACCACATTTAGATGAAAAATTTGAAATTGTCTCAATTATCAATTTTTTTAATCAGAAATTTTATGAAAAGATGAGATATTACAGTAATATTATTTTCAATTGCTAACATTAATAATTAAAAAAAAAAATTGAAATCACTAAATCCAATTGTCAAATAACAACATTTCATGAAACTGATTAATTTATTGACAATTCCAACAATGTTTAAAATAAAAAAAAAAGTCTATTTTGAAATGATTTAATTTTTAAAACTTAAAAACGAGCAATCACTAAATAAATTATATAAAATTACTCACCTTTCTTAACATATTATTATTATTGTTATTATTATTATTAATATTTCTCCTGTGAGTGTCAGAATTGGATTCACTGGCAGTGGTTGCTATGTTATCATTTTCATGTCTACGAGATCTACCAGATATTTCAACAATTTCTTCATCATCTTGATTTAGAAGTTCTTTTAATATAATATTTTCATTCCTTGATGTTGAAATTGTATTTGCACTTTCAGACACAGATTTTGTAGCACTATTAGTCTCGTGTTCTAACAAATTGTGTGTTGGTGTCCCATTTCTTTCACTAGAAATTCCTTTAGATGCGGAAGAATCGGCTTCTTCCGTACCTTGGGTAAGAAGATTTCTCAGTTTTTGTGTAGTACTGCTATTCATTTGAACGTCGGATATTATACCAGATACAGATGTGGCAGGACTACTGATGGGCACTTCAATTGTAGCAGTTGATGCTTCTTCCTTTTTTAATGCACTAGTAATATTTGGTGATATTTTCCCACTGGAAGGCTGAGTTTGTCCAGAGCTGAAGGCAAATGTATTAGTGTACGGGGCAACATGCCCAGAAAGAGGACTACTTGTTGAGCTAAGCTGTGAAACTGGTGATTCCTTTGTGGATATCAAATCTGGACTGAAGGCACTACTAGAGGGCAGAGAAGTTTGTGATATCCTGAGGGCCCTTGAAGTGCTATTAGTATTACTTACAGTTGTTGTTGATGTCTGTATAGAAGGGCTACTGCTCACCAAATAGTTGTTTCCTCCAAGAGATGTAGTAGGCAGATTAGTATTCAGTCCACTGTCTGAGCTACTTAAATCCCAACTGGAAGATGGAAATAAGTCTAATCCTAAATCATTTAACAAATCTTGATGTGAAGGACTGAGATTAGGAAATGTCATTGTGGAATTAGATGATGAAATAGTGGAAACTGTTGTCATTGGACCACCCATACTTCCATTTATGTTCCCACTTATTCCAAGACTTGTTCCGACAGTTGAAGCCGACGATGTCGTAGGAGATGGACTACTACACTTTGAAAGGTCTCCACTATTCCCTTCAATAGATAATGTTGAATCCACATCCCTAGAAGATTAAATTACATTATTATTTGAAATAATATTGTATAATCTATAATATAGAAAAATTTGTTTTATCTACATTTTTCATCACATTCTTACTGATGACATAACAGTAAATAAAGAATATCTGCAATTATTTTTAAAAAAGTTTAACAAAACACTTAATATAAAAATTATACAAATTTCAAATAAAACAAGAAAATGATGCTACTATTTAAAATTTAATAACTTCTATTTTTCCTCACATAAAAAATAAACAATTCTTAAGTTGTAATGTTGAAATTTAGTATCGCTGAAATAATCAATTGGAAGTGCAATTTGCCGATGTTTCAAATGTTTCCATTTGAAACATTAGCAAATTGAAACAGTGTACAAGAGATCCAACATATTTGAAATCACAAAATATTTACTAAAATATTATCTATGATAGTTTATTCAACATGTTTCCTTTTAGTCTCCAGACATCTTTACAGATAAAATATCATATTTTTTGTATGCAATGTAGCATTTAGCATCATATCTTTATTTGCCATCTTTCAAGATATGTCTGTAAATTCTGTTCATTACAAAAGAAATATAGTAACTTCATCTATAAAGGTGCTTGGGAATAGAAGGGAAGCATGTCTTTGAAAATATAAGTTGCATATACTCTAAAAAATATATTTACAGTAAGACCTGCTTAACATGAGGGATGCGTTCCTAGAAAACAAAGCGCTAAACGAAACAATGTTAAATGAGGTCATTTTAACAGTGTAAATAGTAGGGTTTCTGAAACGGGATTCCGGGATCTCGGTTGTTTTTTTAACCCGGGAAATATCCTGGGAAATTTTTCTTATCCCGGGAAATCCCGCAAATTTCTTAAAAATTCACTTTTTTTCTTATTTTGTGTTAAGGTTGAGGAGTTTTGCAAATAGAAAGCATAATTAACTCATTCACTGCCAGAATACATTTGTATTTATTAATTTTAAACCTACCTATTAGTTTTTTTAAATTTTTGCTCGTTATAGCATGTCACAAATGGTCAATAATCAATATATAGCTTATTTGTGGCATGACTATAAAAATTCTTTACTTGTCGGAACCTGTAATATCTGGAATAATTGTGCTTACGCTGTCTTGAGTTTTAACCATGCCCAGTAGCTTCAATAAATGCCTGACGCCAGATTGTGCAAATTGGGCAAGGATACAAACGAGTACAAAGTCTGCAAGTATGAAGTTTTTCTTCATAAACCTGATTATTAAAGCCAAATGAATTGCCGAATTATCGAGCTCTAAGCTTGATGCCGCTATTAAAGCAGCCAAGGTAGACAAATCAAGAATACTAGAGAGCGAAAGAAGTACTACAATCTCGAAAACGAACTCGAAAGCTTCCAGGCTACAGGTGAAAAAACACATAATATCTGTCTTCTCTTAAATGCATTAAACACTATTCCAATCACATCAATTGAATCGGAAAGGGCATTCTCGGTGGCAAGACTTTTCATTACTAAAATAAGAATTAGAGTGAGTTATCGGAGTATTGACCATCTTTGCTTTTTAAAATCTTATAAAAGTTTGCAATATTTTGTATTATATTTTATTTAAAAAACGAAAATTACCTTCTAAATTAGAAGTTCATTTTTTTAATTTTTAACTCAATTCAAAACATTTTTTTTGTTGTTGTTGTATGCAGTTTCCAGCAAACTTTAATTAATTTTTTTCTATTTGTGAAAATTTCTACGTTATTTAAAGGTAATTTTTATTATAGGCCTATAGACCTTACACAGCATTATTAATATGATTTTGGAGGTTACAGAACTTTAAAATTACTTTAAAAAATGGAAAATAATTATATCATTTGATTTCAAGATATTTTGTATACCTTAAAAATAATTAATTCTATCTCGGGATCCCGGGAAACAGTTCACTTTTATCCCGGGATCCCGGGACAAGCAAAATACCGGGAAATGAGAAACCCTAGTAAATAGGGATAGGGGAACACATGACCAAAAATAAACAAATTTTATTTTAATTTTAAGTTATTTTTATATTAATTTGTATAATAATATATGTTAAATAACAAACAAACATATGCACACAGAAATGTAAAGTCCATTTTTTGTGATGAAAGTCCTGACTTTTCTGAAATTCTTGTTCTTTTGTAATAAAGATGTGAAGTTTCATTTGTCACTTTTTTTCTTTCCTTGAGCAAATGTTGGTAGCAGAAGATCATATCCAAAAGGCCTCATTTTGCTTTTGCATTCTTTCAAAATCTGGATCATTCGCTACAATTTGATCAATGATTTTGGTTATCTTACCAAACTTTTACTAAGGAAATGTGTAAAAAATATTTTGGGTTCTTCGTTTTCAGAATCTCTATTTTCCAGTTCCACATGAATTCTATGTTCTGCCAGTTCTTGAACATCGTCATTGGTAAGAAACCTGAAACTCCTTCAGGTCTCTCACCAGATACCTGCTGTAACTCCTCAATATCCTGCGCATCTATATCTCCTAGTCCTGCTATATCGATTAGGTTGAGTTTGGTCAACCTAACGATACAGCAATAGGCTCTTGTTCAGAATTCTTGGATACCTTCAGCCATAACTTCTTCCACACTTCATTCATGCATTTATCAGTTAATTCCTGTCAAGTGAAGTCGATATTTCCTATGGCATCCATGATGTTATATTTTTCCTAAAATTGCACCAAACAAACATAGATTTAAAGAAAGTACACCTTTTTTCCACCTTTTGCTGATTGGTTTGTGTTCACAAATAATTGTATTATATATGAATCAATGAAATGCTGCAATAATTTAGATCAGCATAAATTTTGAGCTTTTTATAGGCTTCGAGCAAACCGTGTTATATTGGATCAGCATTAAGCAGGCTCTTACTGTATTTTACAAATCCAGACTTTTTGGACAATATCTTATACAATGAATTAAAATTTTTGAATAATTATTACAAAATTATTAAATTGCAAAGGATTAATTAGAGAAATAAAGTATTAATGAATATAATTATTTTGAATGAAATTTTTTTTGTAAGAATTACGATTTATATTTGTGTTAGAGAACAAACATAACACTTTTAATGTTTCTGGCATACATAATTAATATGATCAAATTGCAACTATTTTAATTCCTGATTTAGTAAAGAGAAATGAATTGTAAAAAACCTTCAATGATTATATATATATAATAAAACTAATAATAATACAAATTTCCTTCTCTCTTATGGAAACAGTCTTTGAAAATAAAAATTCAAATTGTTTGTTTTATTGTTTATTTTGTAATGAATTCTGCAGTCGTGGTTTACTTATAACATGTAAATTAAACAACAACAACAACAACAACAAAGAACAAAAATTAATGAAAACTGGCTAAATATCTTATAATATTCAGAAAAAATAATTTATGTAAAAAGGTAATTTCTTGAAAAGAAATATTTTGTGTAAAAAGGATTTTTTAGAATAATTTATGTAAAAAGGGTATTTTTTGTAAAGAAATAATTTGTAAAAAGAAAAAATTTTTTTAGAAAGACTAATTTATGTAAAAAGTAATTTTTGAAAAGAAATAATTTGTATAAAAAAAAATATTTTATGTAAAAAGTAATACTGCCACAAAGTGGCCTACTAGTCATATGACTATAGTAACCAGTGGTACATTTAACTAGGAGAAAGGAAAGAAAGGGGGAGGAGAGGTCATCCCAATGAGTTGGTAAAAAGGGAATTGCATGGTTTTGATGAAAGACAAATATATCAATTTTAGTATTGTTGTAAAATTAATTGTAAAGGTATAAGACAAATTTGAAATTGTTTAAATTTTATAACAGTGAAAAACAGATAATTAGATAATACGAAAACCGTATGTTTCTTAGAATAAAGTGTTAAGGGCTAAAAAAGTTTTGGTAATTCCATAATAACAAGTAAACATAGGAAATGGAAATTTGTGGTTTTAATATCTCAATAACCTGTAAAATAAAAAGTTGGTGGAGGAGGGGCAATAAATGCCTGAAACGTGTGTAAATAATATCAACACGTATCAACTAAATAAAATTTGATGATAAAAATTGCCAAGTGCCTGAAAATAAATACAATAATAATTTGTGTTTGAATTACTACAAAGAACAAAAAATTTTATACCCTGAAAGCAATATGTAAGCAATTTGTTTCTTAATTTTAATATAAATGGACAGTTTTCCTGTAAACAACAGGACATGCTTCATTTTACTGTAATAAAATAATTTTGATCTTAATTTTATAAACAGGACTTTCAGATTTTTAAAAATTTATTTTGAGACAATTTTTATTATGTAATAAGTTTTATCTTTCCATAAAAAAATAATAGATGTATGTAAAAGATATGGTATATTATGTAATATTTTTATACTATAATAGCAATAAAATTACTAGCATAATTTACAACAAGTAAGGGTTTATTTCCTCTTTTTGACACAGTATAGACAAAACTGATGTAATTTTAAAGATATAATTAATATCATTTCAAACATACATTCTTGAATTTGGTATTCTTGTTTTAATATACATATGACTATTTTTAAATTTAAAAAATGTTTAAACAATATTTGAAAATGAACTAAAATATGTTCATTAAGTTTTAAAGATGATAAGACACTTTTTTAAAAAAGAAAATTTAAAAAATTCAAATAATTTTCAATGGAATCATACCTAATTATAGAATGAGTTGCCATAATGAATTCCTGGTCACTAACTGACCTACTGTAGGAAAACCTTTTGCTCTTTGTCTGAACATGAACATACCTATCTTGGGACACTTGAAGCCTGTATATACTACTAGTATTGTTTCCTGTATGAAGTGCTATAAAAAGTAATATACAAGCATTAAAATGAAATTTTTATATTATTCTTTTAGAGTAGGGAAAGAAAATAAAACTTACTTTCTTTTAAATGCTGATCAATCTTTTGTAAATCTGAGGGGTGACAAAGTTCCTGTACAATTCGTCCTACAAGATCTTTATTCAGATATTGACTATATGTTGATGAAACACCACTAAAACATATTTAATGTATCTTAGCATATTTTTAGAAATCAGTCATTTTCAATTCTATAATCATATACTATAAAACAAAAGCTGTATACTTTAATGGTTACTAATTTATGAGTATTTTTAGAATAAACTAAAAACTAAATATCTTACTAAAAAACTAATTTTCTTCATTTATATTAAACAGAAACTTTAATTTAATAAAGAACTAAGAGAACATTCCAAAATGAACAAATATTTACTTTCAGGTAAACTACAGAGAAAATTCAAAATAATAATGAATATTAAAATGTGTATTCAACACAAAATTAAAACAAACCTTGTATCAATAGCCAAGATTTTCCCAGTTAAATCCAATCGCGTTGTAAACTGCTCTACCCCAATAGAACTTGGACTTTTTTCGTTATGTGGTATACGACGGGCAACGCAAAGTAAACGTGTTTGAACTTCTGTAAATACAAATAAAATTCCAAATTTTATTGATTTCTGTAAATACATAATATATAAATAAATCAAAGTGTAAAATTTAAGAAAAGTAAATTTTAATTAAAAAAAAAAAGTGTATAAAAAATTACATGAACAGCATTATTAAATGTATTCATATTACAGTTTTATTTAAAATATTTATGAAAATAAATGTGTTTAAAAAGTCTAGTAAATAAACTCCTGTAATGTATCAAATTAAATAATGAAGTGAATCAAATAAACAAAGGATAGAACAAATAAGACTGCAGTAAATAATTTTATTTTATCAAAATAATACAGAAAATGATAAGCCTGTTTATAAGTGACACAATTTTTTAAAATTTACATCATCTTTTAAATTCTTAACACATTGAAATGAAAAAGTATGGTGTGAAGGATTAAATATATAAAAATGAAATTTTAAAAATTTATTCCCATGCTTAATATAGGAACTAGTTTTTATTTACTACTACTTAACAACAGAGATTTTAACATGCATAACAGTAAATACCATTTGAAAAAAAAATTCTACATACACACAAACTAATAATATACCTCAATATATTATACTAAACCAAGTATTGCCATAATTAATCAAGCTATTAATTTGCTATCAATAATAACTAGATATTAAGTAATTTGGTAATGGAAGTAGACATTAGGTGCCATCTCTTATCTAAATCAATAATTTATTAAATCATTTAGAATTATAATTGTTAATTTAGACAAGAAATGGTGCCTAACACCTACCTCTATTACCAAATCACCTAATATCTAGTTATTATTGATAGCAAAATAATAGCCCAATTAATTACAGAAATAGTTTGGGTTAGTATTAATACATTGGGCTTCAGGATGATTTATATATATACCAATACATTATGATAAAAATCAATAATCTATCTATTGCATAACAACAAATGAAACAGTTATCAAAATCAAAAGCTAGTTTATGAATCAAATGTAACTTCTAAACTGTTTAATTCCTCATATAAAAATAAATATCAAAAACAAACAAAAAAACAGCTAATTATAAAAAACTTTATTTCTTTGCATTGTTTTAAAGTTTTCAAAATGAGTATGTTATATCTTCAAATATAAATAAAATGGCACAGATACAATTATAAATTAAATAATTTTGATTTTATTATCACATATATGTACAATAAACATGCCACAGGCATTACCCTAATTACAGAACAGTAAAATGTTTCAATTAAAGTCTGTCACAATTAGTCAAAAACAAAAGAAGCGAGATCAATAATTTTTTGAGATATCTGTAACATGAGATCATTTAGCATTATGTAAATACATCATTATAAGCACAATTAAAAAAAACCCTGAAGTCTTAAAAGTAGTTGAATGCTTTATCAGTATAAATATTTGTTGCACAGATATATATATTTATTTATAAAAAAATTATGAATCATACTTTGCATTAACATAACACAGTTCTGTATTTATAAATTAAATGGAATAATTGTGTTAAAGAAAAAACTGCATTCATTATTGTACATATAATAATCTAAATCAATACAAATGCTAATGTTATGATAGGAATTTTTACTCCAAATTTTGCATTATACAGTTTCAATAAAATTGCTTAAAATCTTTTACGAATTATTATTTGAAAAGATATGTAAAAATAAAAAATCCCATTAAAAGACACATTTTAATTTCTAACAATCAATTTTGAAATACACAAACTGTCTTAAGACTGTTCAAAATAAGTAAGAGCCATTATCTAACTTCCATGGTATACCTTTCAAACACTGACAATACAATTCTATAAGCCAAATACATTAGTAACTATACATGACTGAGTGTTTACCTGCATCTCCTTCAATACCCTCTGACTTCTCTCCCGTGAAGGGTAACAACAATGCAGAGACCTGCATGTTTTCGTATTGAGAAACATGGGCCTGCTTCTCTTCCATAGTCTCGTCTTGGTCGTCGGGAGGCTTGATAAGAAAACGGCAGTTAAAAGATCGGCTCTTACTTGTATTAGATTCTGATGGCCAACCAAATCCATTGCCTACGAGAAAATTATGTTAGTAAGCTTTTTCTAAATTTTGACTAACGAGAAGAGAATGATAAAATACAATATATTTAAACTGAATTTTAAAAAGTAATCATTTACTTTAAATTTTGTTTAAAATCAAAAGAAATACTCACCTATTGACATAGGCAACAGATTACTACTGAAACGTGCATGATCTCCTATATGAATGATGTTATATATGCTCTTGTCCACCAAGTCATCCTAATAGATATCATGGGACTTGAGTGTTTGTTGTAAGGTAAATTTATTTTAAATATTAGTTCACAAAAGTAAATTTCCTAATTTCAAACTGTTTAGTAACACTTTCCTACATTTCCTATACAACTATCAAGGAAATTTCACAACTATCGTACAAATTGTTTCATTCTAAGAAATATCGTAGATATTGTTGGATCATTTACTATTAAATTATACTCATTCATTCATTTATAACATTTACTTATTTTTACAAATTAACTGAAAACACTAATAAAAAGTAACTTATAAATGTAAATATGTTATCCTTTAACAAGCACAATTTTGATCATTTAAAAAAAAAATTTGGCTTTTTTCAGAGACAATACTTAATTTTTCATAATTTTCATTTATAAATTCCTAAACTCACTTAAAACAAACGTATTTATTTCTAAACCCATCCTAAACAACAAATAATTTTTCATGTCTTTCAATATCAAAATTTATCATAGGTGAAACCAAAATGTGCATTTGTTCATTTGTACACGACATTTAAATTTGATCATTCTGCATAAAACCAAATTTCTTTTTAAAACTACTTTAATGGTAAAACAACAACCAGAAAATTTCCAAATTAAAATAATTCTAAACTAATTTGAACTTTTGAATGGACAATTTTTGTAGTTTTATATCCTGGATGATGAGCTGGGAGCATGAGATGGAATGTAAGACTTTTTTGTTTAATTTCTCCATTAGGTTTTAAAAGAAATTATATATGACTTAAGAAAAAATGTATATAAAGCCATTTCCAGTGAAATAAGCATTACGTACACAGTGAATATTTTTGTCTTATGACTTTCAGGCAAATTCAATTACGACTTAACAAAATATAGTAAAATGTAATAACAAAACATGACAATGCTCCATTATTGACTTTTCATGCAGCAATAATTAATATCATGTATGTTCTTGTACAGTCAACCCCCCTATAATGCGGGTTCATATAATGTGGATTCGTATATCACGGCGAAAAAATTGCAACTGTATTCGTATAAAGACACTAAAAGAGACTCGTAAAATGCGGTAAAATGTCATCGCCGACTTGTGTCACGACAGGATTGGTCAAATCTGGACCAATAGTGGACGAGCAGCCGAACTACTTACACACTATGGAAAGTTTAGGGGAATAAGTTGAGTTTACTATAGTCTGTACAGTATATAAATTAGGTACTGTAAGTCTAATACAATACTGTAATTTTATACATTTCTTGTGAAAAAAACATTTCTTATTCAATGGCCATAAAAATTATTTCTATTAATGATGTCTCCAAAGTTCAGAAAATTTTTTGCAGAAAAATAACTTATCAGAAAACGTGCCCGTCGTTCGATGTGCTGCTCTGCGACAAAAACAAGCTTAAGCAATGGCGTCGTCGAACAGGGCACACTCCGTAAGTAATCCTACAATTTATTGTTCATAGCATAGTTTATATGGATTATTCCCAAAAAATTATAAGAGTTTTGGAAATGTCGAGTCAAATTAGTCTAGAATCGATTAATTTTATGGAAGAAAACATTTCAAACAGCCGTAGTCCATAAACTGCACACGTGCCGGGCTGTGATTGGCTCATGTATTTAAGGATTCCTTACAACGTGAAATTCTTATAAAGTAGAATGTATCTATCGCGTTATGGGGGGGGGGTCGAATGTACATTTTTTATAGAATTTAATGTGTGACATTGTGTTTCACAGTCAATACTGTAACTCTAGAGCTACATTTACAAAGCAAAGATAACTAGGCTAAGAATAATTAAGTATCTTTACATGATGCAGACAAAACAGTTTTCTGTTAACTGAAAATAGTACCTGTCACATATTTACACTTTAAAGTATTTTTTAAAATTTTCTTATTCTTTTCCTATTTCAAAATCATACTGTAGAAGTTATCATGCAATGTTACCTATGTTTGATTAATTTGAATTCCAAAGTTTAGAATACATCAAAAATGCTCCAAAAAAAAAACCTTTAAAATGCAGCTTATTTTGCTAAAATACTGAATGTTTTCAGTCAGCTTCCCTGACCTTCTTCAGGCTTGAACAAAAAAGTTTATTTCAAACTGAAAATTCTTTTGCCAGAGAGAAATTCTAGAACGCTATTTTTAAAAAACAAACTATCATAGATTCGAATAAGCAAGACCAGTTTGTTCTTTTAAACTTGCAAAGCTGCCGCTTTCCATGCCAATGCTAATTTACAGGATTCCTGAAAATTTATAGATTGCCCTTTTTCATTATACTTATTAATATGCCATTCTTCTGTATACTTTAGATGCCGTCTGCTTGCAACTTTTTGTATAAGTTCTGCTTTACCCCAATTAACTGAAACTTCTGTTGGTTCTATGATCACATAATTTGCTAACGCCGTGACTGGTTGCTCATATCTAATATTCCTTTTGTGTTCTTTCAACCTTTCAGTAAGCTACTGTTTTGTGGCCCCTATATAATACAGGTCCTTTTGGTGCCTTTTATCATGCACTGGTATTCTATAAACCTGTGGAACCAGCTTTTTGTGTAAGGGTACTTTGTCATTTCTTAACATCTGAAATATTGTAGGGTTCCTCTTATAGACTATTTTCTTATTACTCACTATTCTTATTCTCTTGTATATGTTGGTTAACAGTGGAGCATTTTTGATGTATTGCAGTAAGTGCAGTTGGAGAGATAGGAGTTATAAAGTTTAGAATTTTTATGACAGAAGCCAGCATATTTTACTATATTGTCGAGTAATCAGTAACAAAACCTGTCTACGAAGAGAGTGAAATGAATAACCACATCTTTATTTCTACTGTTAATCATTATCGATAGTAGTGTAATTTTGACAATTTAATGTTTTAAATATCAAAGTTTGATACATAGATAATTCTAACTGATATTTTTTCATTTTCTAGAAAATATAAATTAGTTCCTATACTTAGTTTATGTAAGTTAAGTTTAAAATCAAATATATATAATTCTTACATTATCTGCTATTGAGCACACAAATTTTATAAGAAATTTTACAAATTTTTCCAGATATGCTAATATAAGTAAAATCACTTGCTGTTTTCTTCACTCGTTTATAAATTCACACATACATACAATTTTGTTTATGCTTACATTTCCCCCCCAGTATGTTTGATAATACAATTTTCATAAACATATAAATCAAAGAATCAAGAAGTGATAAAAAGAAATTGGAAATATAAAACAAGTTTGTGTGTTTATTTTACTTGTAATTTTTGGTATAGGTTTCTTTTCTCGGTATGATTCCTTAGAAAATTAATAAATTTCACATTTCATATTTTAGTTTTTCTATTCCCTTAATCATATTTCCATATGAAAACATATTACCATAAATTATGGAAACATGTTGCATTTTCCTACAATTTATGCAAAAGTTAAAATGTTTCATTTCACCTCATAAATTTCAGAATTAATATTTCATGATATATTAGAAATATGTAAATAAAAATCTATCTAGCCATTGTCTGTTTATAACAAAATTTTGAATTCAAAACTTGCTATTTTTTTTTTAAATGTAATTTCTAAATACTGAAAATTACATTTGACATTGATCATTTTAACTCATTAGAAAAAAATCTTCAATACAAAAAACTAAGTCGTCGTACAAAATTGAAGTTTTCATAAACAAGTTATATTCATTGTCTTAAATGTTATAGTCAATGATCTAAAAAATGTTTAAAAACACAAACATCCAATTTTGTTTGGAATCATTTCTTAAACCTAATCTAATTTTTAAGGAATAATTTATAAAATAAATGAGCACCAAAGTCACCACAATTTAACTGAATATAAAAATAAATTCATTAGAATTAAATTAAATAAAGCAAACATATCATTCATTTGCTTGATTTATATTTGTATAAAGTAATCAAATACAACAAATTATCCTTTATAATAATAATAATAATGTGTAAAACATTTTTTAGTAAAATTGTTAGGTTACATTTTAACTGATTAATAATTTATGACTCAAAATTTCATACTATTGATAAATATATTGCTATCTGTTATAATTTTCAGGGGTAAGTAACTAACTTATAATAGTTTCATTAAATTAAAAAATAATGGTCAAAATATAATCTGTACTTGCAATTTTTTCTGTGATGAAAGACCATATTGCTAGTTATTCAAATGCTTGATATCAATCTCTTTCTATATATGTATACATGTGTGTGTAATATATATTTTAGACCAATATACAAGCAACAATATATTTTGTCATAATTATAAAGCACTGAAAATGTAAGCTTGGTATATATAACAAACAAACAACTATTTGCATCACCAATCATCCAAATTATCCTTCAGGCTATTTTAAGGCTAGTAAATAAATTACGAGTATTTACTAGCCTTATAGGTTGTCTACCTAGATTGATTTGTATTTAATTTATTTGTTAGCCTTAAAATAGCCGAACAGATAAACTGGCAGATCATTAGATGATAAACTTTGTTTATTAAAGCCAAATGCTACCAAAACAGCTAGATTTTACTATGTTAATCTAATTACAAGTTAATTACAAACAAATCTGGAATTTCAGGTAGCTACATCATTATCTCTTGGAATTTTAAAATGATCCATTTAACTATTAAAAGTTAAAGTTAATGTAAATTAATTAATCTTTTTGAAAATGCCAAGAGAGGTGTTTAATTCGAAGCTTCAGTGGTTTAACTTATGACATATCTACACACAGTGTGTGTATGTATTTTGAATAATTATTACTCTGAAATGTTTTGAGATGAATTTGTTCAAAGTTATTAAATTAAAGGTCATTGCTTTCTTACAAAATTATCAAAAAATAGTGATACTATTTATCACAAAATTATTCCTTTATAGTTATTTTCTAATTAGCTGAAAAGCTATGTTATTAAAATATATTTAAATTGTATATTTGGCATGATACTTGTATATTAGATGACAGTTACAGAATTTGAATCACTGTTTTTCCAGTTTTAATTATTATTAATAATTAAAACCAAAAGATTGCAACATACTAGTCTCTAATGCCAAATTATTCAATCATTATGTAATTTAAGTATCCAAACTATTAATATCTAACATCAAAGGAATTATAGTAGTTGCAATAATAAAATTATTCTGTACACTATATATAAGTGACACTTTAAATAAAATGGAATATTTAGTTTGTTTTATCGGCTGTTAAAAATTTACATATAGTATATTGTTTTATGTAATTTAATGTAATAATAGAAAAAATAATAACTAGAAAACATAGTTCACAATCTGAATATTTTTTTTTCACCTATATATTTAATATTTTGTCTTGTTTTGGTGTTTATAATAAAATATTTTAAGCTATCTCCAAATTACTATAGGTTTTTTTTTTACATATTACAGAAAAGTTAGCTTCCTGAAAACACATAGCTGTAAGCTTTTGTCTACAACCTTATGCTTTTAGTAAAATTTAAAACAGGCAGAAATATATGCTTGTCAATACTTATTCATAGTGCAGTAATAGCCAGGAACTAGACTTTATACAATATCTGAGCAGTGTGCGATACAGATTTATTTATATGAAAGGACATCACAAATCCATGATTGCTTAGGGTATTGCATAACCTTAAATTCATCACTACAGAGTAGCTTCTACTAAAACATGAACACCAATACTTAACCCAAGATCACATGCAGAATTTTTAATATGCATAAGATAGCAATTTTGCATTGATTTTTCAAGTGATTACATTGCTTGTAATTTCCATTCCTCAAATTTGATGATTCTGAAAAATCTTATAATGTATCTTCTGTGCATGTACAAAATTTCAATGTCATATATTGTCTAGTTAACAAACTATTGCTCAAGCTTGTGAACTACTAAAAACTATACAGGATGCTTAAAACTTTGCAACAGTGTGGACTAATGTGAAACAAGTTCAGCTGTAAATACATGACTGGAGGACTGAGATGCTGCTCAGGAGTAAAAAATAATTTTTCTATGGTTTTGGGCACGAAATAAAAACTACAAAAATATTTAAACTGTTGAACATCAGAGTGCCCCACACTATCTTATGGAGTCTTGTATTCATACTCAGTGATTCGCAGACAACCAATTCATTATGTCATATGTTGCTGACAAATCTATGGTGTCAGAACAGAAAATTGCCGTGTTATTGTGTGTAAAAAATTGTACACAGTAACATAGGCAAAGCAGCAAATTCTGCAGAAGTTTTTTGAGGGTCTGTGATAAGCAGGAAAAAAAATTTTGTTTGTGACTGAAATTATCACACGGATAGCACATAGCATGTGGATATCACAGAAGCACAGCTAAGTCAATATGGTGAAAAATGTTTATGAAAAAACTAGCAGATACAGAAAAATCACTGCTGTTGCAAGATTGCAGATTAAATGTATTCCTATTCAGTATGAGCAAAGTATATAGTTGTATGATAGACGACAATAAAGAATATAAATTAAAATTAAAATTTGAGAGAGAAAAAAAATTTGGTTTAGTATGTATTTCATATTAGGAGTATATTAATTTGATAAAAATTTAATTTTATTTGTAGTTTTCCTTACTTATATAACAAAATGGATATATTTTCCAATTTTCTTACACTTCTTTAAAAATAAATTTGTAAATTTAACTTTAAGAAAATGTTTGATATGTAATGTTCTTTAAATGTTTCATCTCAGATTAACATTTTATACAGATGCTAGATTAAAAAAAATAATATTTCATTCAATTTATTTGGCTACATCAACAATTGTTTGAATGAACAAAATAATTTAGAGTATCTTTACAGTCTAAAAATATTTGCTGAATTTTACATAGTGTAACAGTGATGTCAAAATCAATAGTTATGAGTTATAAAAATAACAGCAAGAAATATACCTTTAATAGTTTTATAAAAATGTATATTTTTCATAATAAAATGCATATTTAACATTAATCTTATAAATTTAATAACAGTCCTCTTCTCAAAAACACTGGAGTGAGAAATAAACAATCATTTTTTTTTAACCAGTAACTGAACTTTAACGTAACTTCCAGATGTTTTCGGCCTTCACCGAGGCCTGCTTCAGGTAATGAACTAAACTGATTTCCAAATTGGACTGTTAGAACAATGATGTTCGACTTTAAACTTTGTATATATCAAACTCATATTCTGACATCAATTCAGAAGTTACGTTAAAGTTCAATTACAGGTTAAAAAAGGTTTTGTTTGCAGATTGTTTATAAATTTAAATTAATCACTTGTAAAATAATATTAAAATTTGAATTGATTAGATTATCAAATTTCAAAATAATAAAATTCGAGAAATATCAATTAAATTTCTTAAATTTTTATATTTTCAACAAGTTTTCCCTAGTACTAACACTTAAAATTTCACAAAACCTTTTCATGAGAAAGAAGAATACAATTATGTAAGATAGTTGAAAAAGAACTATTTTAAGAAGAAGAAAAACATTTATATACATACCTGACGATATTTTAGAAAAGACGAAATATTATCAGACACAAATTCTATTTTCCCATCTGTATTTACAGTTAATGAGAAACCATCTAATGCCTAAATTAAAAAAATTTAATAATCAATTACATTCATTAAATGTTAAATGCAAAAAAATTATTTACCAATGTAACAAAGTGGGGAGAAAAGTAGTTTTATTTTCAAGAGACAGCAACTAAAACCTAAACTAAGATGATCTTGTTTCTATTTTTAATAAGATTCAATGCAAAATAAGGTTTTGAAATAACAGTATCATTTTAATACATCTTTAGGTATATAAACACATTTAATTAAAATTCAATGACGATAAGTAACGAAGATATTAAGCATCACCATGTCCATTATATACATTTTACAAATTACAACAGCTAGAAGAAAATTACAGTGGGTGATCAGGTAACGAACAGATTGGTTAATGAACAAATCAGAAAACAAACACTTTTGTGAAAGATTTTTTATGTATGGACAACAAACACAAGAAGCAACGTAAAATAATGAGTACCAATTGGTCTTCCCTTGTCTTTGGGCAACAATTCGAAACTTTTCAGAGTGCGGGAGATGTCGACATCAATGCTCAATCTGGTATATACTGATCAGATAGTATTCTTCCAAACTTTGAAACTTTCCCTTGTAGTTCCAGCCTTTTATTTTTCTGACGGAAACAATTCTTTTATGTATTCGCGAGACTGTTCGGTAGGCACTCGTTAAGTTTTGCATCTGTTTTTCTTTACGAAAGGTGAGAGTATAATAGCAAAGGTAGAGAGTGGGCAGAAGATGCCTAATGTTGCTGGGCAGTATGCGTAAACAGGTCTACAGTAGGCCACAGTTCAATCTTATTTAAGAAAGATACTGTATAATTAAAAAGACTCAAGCAGCTAAAGGAGTAACAAAAATCACATCTGAGAAATAAAGAACATCGAAGAGTTCATAATGGAACCTGAAACGGATCTGACGACAGAAGAACGCCAAGAACTCTTGAATGAAGAACACCAAGAAACTCGGCGAGATATGTTTTCTTCTGAAAAAGAGGATTAATGCCGATATCTGCTATTAAAGATCTTTTGAAGAAGTGGGAGGATGTCAGAACAACGGTCTTAGAATGGCATCCAAACCAGGTTGAGGTTAATAGGCTTAGGGATCTCTACAATTACAATGCTATTAATTACTTCTGAAAAATCCTGAAGAAGAGAGAAAAGCAATCAACATTAGACAGATTCTTTAACCCCACAAACGAAAAAAACATGACTAATAAAAATGCAAGACTGTGTATGTATGTATTTTTATTATTACATATAAATAAACGTAGTAAGAAAGTATATATTTTTTAATTTGGGGGGGTCTTCAGAATGAATTAATTAAATTCCTATTAAAACCTATGGTAAATTGATAATTGGTTAACGAACAAAGTCTTGGAACGGATTATGTTCGTTAACAGATCACCCACTGTATATTGAAATCTAATAAATTTTTGATAATAAGTTTGCAAATGTTGTGTGTTTGCAAACTTATATAAATGATAATTTAAGAGATTCGCTATTAAAATGCACAATCATTAAAATATCATATAAATATTGCAATAAATGGAATTTCTGTAAACACTGTTTTGATGTGCATTACACTATATCAAATATAACTGGAAATTGTTTACTTCATATATTAGAAATTACACAAAATATTCTGATATCTCAAATATTTTTTCCTGCCAGCAATAAATAGCTCCTAATTAACTTTTTAACATTTAAAATAAAGACTAAACTAATATATAATCTTAATTTTAAGGTATTAACAAATCTGGTATGTAAATACCAAAACTTTTATTGCTGGGAAAAATTTTAAGTGCTATGATTGCAAGCCCTCCCCATTTCAAATGTTAACATTTATTATATTGTCAATTAATATTTATTAAAATTTCAATTCATATTTTCATTATAATTTACATGTTTAAAATACCACTTATTTATTTATTTTTGCCTGAAAATCCTATTTGTATTTAGATTATGCCTATATATTAATGTTTGTTTCAGTGCACAAATAATGTCAGTGTTATTTCTACTTTCTTCATACTTTCGTTTCATTTTAACAAATTACATAACTTACCAATACATGCTTTAAATCAATATGATCCAACCTTCTGTTATTTCAAAGCCAATTATTCTAAGTGAACTAATATTGTAGTCGTTCATATTATTATAAAGTAGTATTTAAATTAAAATGTATAGAAATTTTAAATTTTTACTGTAAATATCAAATTTGGTAATATTTGGAACTAACTACATTTTTTTTTTTGCACAATTATTAAATATTAAGGAAGATGATGTTTATCCAAGATAATATCTTTCATCAATTTTTATTTCCTTCAAGTATCTGATGTTTTATTTAACATAAAAATCTTAAAAATTATAATAAATTAATTGGCCTGAAGGAGGACTCAAACCTGCAACTCCTGCATACCATGCAGATGTGTTGTCAATTATACTACCTGGACCTCTGACCAATCTTCATTTCCAGAGCTGTAAGAATTAATTAATTAATTTCTTTCTTAGGATCTAATTAAATTTCAGTGCATAAAAAGCTCTTTGATTAGCACATTACTTCAACAGTATGAGTGTGTGTTTCCAAAGCTTCTCTTACTACCAATTCAAGCATTTGGAAATTTTTTCTTTTCTTGTAGTTTTTAGCTTATAGAAACGAATTTAATTTAGCTAAAGCTAATAGAAGAATTCTATTTAAAGTTCTAACAAATCTGATAGAAACTGTTTAAGTGTCACACACTTAAAATTATCGATATCATTCAAAAATTTCAGAAGTAATATTACAAATTTAATAAAATGCAAGTTTTTCAATATATAGAATTTATTAAAAGACCATCGTAAATTTTGATTTAACTTGAATCCAAATCCTCTTACATCATAGATTGGACCATATTGCTTTAAATATATAAATAATTTATTCAATCTTAAAAAGTAAAGTTAATAATTCAAAGATCAATAAAACAATTATTAAAATGCATTTAAAATGACAATATAATAAGTCAATTATTAAACAGAGCATATTTAAATTAATTAAAAACAAAATAAAAAATAGCAATGCACATTTTATAGCATATTATTATTATTATTATAGTAAAATTATCAACTGAAACTCCAAATATTTTTATTTTTTGGGAATCACCTAACAATGAAAAAATGCATTTCAGAAATTTAAAGTAACTTTTTCAGTTTAAATAGATCATCATCAATAATAAAATGTAATAATTCAATACAACAATGAACAAGAAAGACGCAGACCAGGTAATTTTTTTTTAACAAATAACTAATACGGATTTTTCTTAGAACAACTTAAAAACATTTAGAATTAAAAGTGAATATCTTCTCACCAAATAAGCTATATGAAATATATTACCAATTTATTAGAAACGAAGAATTTATGAAATTTTGCTCAGGATTAAACACCATACAATTTTTGTCAGAAAAATAAGTTATATGTAAACTAATTGCAACTGCGTGAATTTTGAATTAACAGATTTCAAGTATCTTCTATAATTATTAAAATTATTTTTCAAATAACTTGAAAAAAATCTGTCAAATCTTTAAATTAATTAATTAACTTTATAACCATGAAAACACAGGTAAGTTTTAAAAATTCATTAACTGGCCAGTGGTAATAAGCAAATCAACAATAGCTAATCTATATGATAAAATTAACACACAGTACTTTAATGATTATCACAAGCACTTTCCACAACTAATTCACATCCATCATCTTTAAATGAAATTATTCTAACAGAATGTTGTAATTTGGAATAAAAATAAACTTGAAATACCTTAATGGCTAATCTACTTAAATACTTTAAAAAATTAAACCATCTTTTTAAATACAAAGAATAGAGTAATTTTTAAATTGTTTAATTTACAATTTTTTCAAATTTTGATATCCAGTTCATTCAGATTAGAGCTTACTCACATTGTTTACTGTGCTTTCATTTAAATACTCATTATCTATACTTATGGTGACCCTACATTGTTTATTTAAGAGGACAGTCCTTTATATTTATTTATTCCTAAAATTTAATTAAAATAGTAAAATGAACAGTGACACCCTCATGACACCAATATTCAATTTACCAAATTTATTTTAAGCAATTTATAAATTTAATCAAACCAACATTGCTTATTTAAATGACAGCATTTTGTGAAAATGAAAGTATTTGAATAGGTCATACTATGAGAAACTCCTGTGAATGTAGAAGATTGAGGAAAATGTTTTGTTCATTTCCAGCCACTGGAATTAAAATATAAATGGCAGCTAACTATTTGACAAAGTTTCGTGTATTAAAGGTTATGTCACCCAGTGACAATATCTAAGAATGTAGACAAAACAATAAGTCCTGCAAACATACACGAATTGAAATTTTAAAATACTGTATTTACTCGCATAAAGGACGAGGTGCGACTTTAAAGATCAAAATAATGAAAATTAGATTTATTAATACAATTCTAATTTTATTTAATCTAATCACAAATAAAATATCAAATGCACGTAAATGCACACATTGTCCAGCAAAAATTATTGGCATTTTAAACTTTAAGGAAAAATCTTGTAAAATTGACAACATAATTTTTGTTCATGTGAAGCTGGACAATCAAGAACCTTTTTTGCCAATTCTTAACAGTCGAATCCACTCTCCATTGATTACATTTATGAGTTTCTCTGAAATCTGATTTCCAAGTAATCATGTTTTTTCACGTAGGAATGGATTAAAAATTTTTTTTATTGATTACTCTAATTATTAATATTTTAAAATTGTTTACATTAACAATGCAAACTATTAGATGTTGTATAGGCATCAATACACATAATTCTCTCCATCTTAGTATTAAGATTGTTTTAGAATTCGTAGTTTAATTTTTATGAAAAGAAAATAATGATCTACCTTTTAAAGATATCAAGACAGATTTAATAAAATAATAATAAAAAATCAATGGACCCATGCAGATGTGTTGTCAATTATACTACCTGGACCTCTGACCAATCTTCATTTCCAGAGCTGTAAGAATTAA